TCCTTAATAGAAGAAAACTGCTTTAAGTTAGATAAAGCTTCACAAGCAATGTCTAATAGACAAGATTCTCATGTAGTTCAATTTGATATGGAAAAAACTGAGTTAATCCACTTTACTAAATTATTTAGTGAAGATAACTCAGTTAAACTACATGATCAAGTTTTTAAACCAAAAAAACTAGTGAGATAGTTAGGCATTTGGCTTGACAATACTCTTACTTTCAAGAACCATATTAAAATTAAGATATCAGCTGCTGAAAGAGTTCTTAATTAAATAATCAGACTTTCAAATACTGAAAAAAGTCTTACTTTTCAAGCTATAAGACAACTTTATATAGCTTGTATTACTTCAGTAGCTGATTATGGTGTTCAGATTTGATGGAAGAATCAAAAGAATCTTCTCTATAAGTATGAGAAACTTTAAAACTCTGCTTTAAGAAAGGTTCTAGGAGCTTTTAAAACTTCTCCAATTTATGCTATGAAGATTGAAGCTGCTATTCCTCCTGCTAAAGTAAGGTTTAATAGACTATGCAGGAACTATACTTATAGACTATTAAAAATGCAAAAAGAATATGCAATCAGAAAAAGAGCATCTTCTAGCTTTCCACCTTATAATAATGGTGTCAGTCTTGATTGGAGAAGGTTTTTAGATTGGAATCAATCAGAATTAAATAATGAATATGTTGTACAAACATCAACTAAAAGAAAAAGAAAAAGAAGAAAAATCAAGTATCCAAGTCAACTATTTAGAATTTGTTTAATGATTTCAAATATATTACCTTCTCTAAAAACAGAGAGAATCAAAGCAAAATAGAATGCACCTTGGTCTGAAAACCTAGCTGATTTGATAGATATTCAAATTGAAAATTCAGACAAGAAAACAGCTAAAGATAGTCACATAAATAGAATTAAAAATCTAGATAATAGATCTTTAATTCTCTATTCAGATAGATCCAAAGCTGAAGAAAGTCAATATGCTGGTGCTGGTGTATATGATCTACAAGATAATATTAGATTTTCATGGAATCTAGGAAAATATCTTGAAGTCTTTAATGCAGAACTGTTTACCATAGATAAAGCATTTAAATTAGCAAGTTCTATCTCTCAGTCTCAATCAAGATCAATATCAGATATCTGGGTGTTTTCTGATAGTCAAGCTGCTATTCAGAGACTCATAAATCAAGATCTTAATTCTGGCTTATATTATCTTCAATCTATAAGAAAAACTGCTAAGTCTATTAAAAATCAGCAAATTAATCTACATCTTCATTGGGTTCCTGCACATGTAAATATACATGGAAATGAAGAACCTGATCTAGCAGTAAAGAAAGCTACAGAATTAAATCAAGTTTGTTCTGAAAGATATATATCTCTTACTTATATAAAAAGACAAATAAAAGAACAAGCAATGATAGAGTAGTTTGAAGATCTTTTTAATAGAGAAAGTTCTACAAATCACTACTCTCAATTCAAAATAAAATCCAGATGGAAAGCATCTACTGTTTCTATATCTAAGAAGATATGGTCAACTATTTGCCAATTAAAGCTTGGTTATGAATATTTTAGATCTTATCTAATAAGATTATCTGACTACTCTTCCAATTTATGCTATTTCTGTAATTGTGTTGAAAATCCAAAGCATCTACTATTAGACTGCTTAGCTTATCATACTGAAAGAAGAAAAATCCAACAAGAACTTGATATTTCTCAACTATCTTTAAATTTTATTTTTGAAACTGAATTAGACTTAAAATGGCTAGTTTTATTTCTGAAATGTACTGGAATAGCTACTAGACAGTGGCTTTCCCAAATATGCTAATTTTATTTCTTTTTGATTTGTATCACATTGCTACAAGAATTATTATTTTCCTTTAAAATTAATATTATGTCCTATCTGCTATTTGACTTTTGTGGAGAAAGAACATCTCATATTGTCTTGAAATACTTTGAATTTTTTCCTTTATTCAGTTTCTACAATATATACTAAGTAAATTCTAACAGAGAAGCTGTTAGGTAGTCTTCATAGTTACTGACTGCATAAGACTATAATAAATAATAATAATAATAATAAATATAGATTCTGTTACCTTTTATATTTTTGCCAATAACTCCACAACCATCAATTGTACACATATGATAATACCACCTTTTAAATTGTCTCTCTGACCTGCTCAGAATGACCCTATTTTTATTAAAAAATATCAACTTTTGCATATTATGTTTTACTTACTATTTGAACTATATATTTTATATTTTTGCTAATAACTCTACTACTATCTACTTTACAGATATAACACTATCTCTGTTCAAATTATCTTACTAACCTGCTTAGAATCTTCTTATTTTCATTATAATATATCTACTTTTGCATCTTATGTTTTACTCACTATTTGCTTTATACAGCTAACCCTAACTTTAATTCTAATTACTTAATTTTCTGTTACTTTTTTATATTTCTGCCAATAACTCTACAATCATTAATTGTAGACATGTGAAACTACTACTATTCAAGTTATCTCTCTGACCTGCTTAGAATATCTCTATTTTTGTTAAAATATATTAACTTTCACATCTTATGTCAGTGTCAGTATTTGCTATATAAAATATATATATTTGCTAATAACTCTATAAAACTACTACTGTTTAAATCATCTCTCTGATCTGCTTATAATCACTTTATTTTTCTTACTATATATTCACTACTTGTGGAGAAAAAGTCCATCTAACAGAAATTACAATCTTCATTACTGTAAAAAATAATACTAATTTATTTTGAATTTTTGTTACTTCTATATTTTTGCCAATAACTCTACAATTATTAATTATGTAAATATAATACTATCATATCTTAAATTATCTCTCTAATCTAGTGCTTAAAATATTCTTATTTTTGTTACAATATATCAACTTTTAAATATTGTATTTTTGTTACTATTTGCTCTATACTTTCTGTTACATCTTCATATTTGCTAACAACTTAAAAACTATTAATTATATAACTATAACAGAACTATTATTTGAATTATGTTTCTGATCTACTTATAATAATTTTATTTTTATTACTCTATCTTAACTTATATAGTCTTGTAACTTAGTTACTATTTAATTTATATATATATCCGCATCTGCATCTTTTATCTGCATTTTGCATCTGCATCTTGCATCTGCATCTAAATTCAATTTTATTACTGTGCTTATCAGAACTCTAATTCATCTAAATACTTATTTCAGTACTTTGTACAACTCTAGTCTACTTAAATATTTATTAAACTACTTACTAGCTCTTTAACTCTGTCTTACCCTCTTTTTTGTTAATTAATTATTTACTAACTCTGATGCCAGCTATTACTACTTTTAAACTGAAGTAGTCAGACAAATAATATAATTAAAAATTAAAAAAAAAAAACTTTTATTTTTAATCTTTTTATACTAACTGCAATTCTCTATCTGACTAATTAACCAGAATCTTGTTCTAAGATAACACTCTAAACTTGAAATATATAATTCACTAGAAATATAAACATTTGTCTGATATACAATCTTATTATATATATATAGTAGCTCTCTACTCTAAACTCTTTTTCTAGACCCTATCTTAGTATTTTATTATTATATTTATCTAGCTGACAATAAATATTTGTTTCCAACTGTATCTAGTTAATCTTTTAATCATTTCTTAATTTAACAGCTTCTTATTATTATAAATATAGGCTTAGATTAATCAAGCATCAGATAATATGAAATCTCCAGAAGATGTTACATGGCCTAACTTGTGAGAATCATACATGTGAATCAGCATAATAAAAATTCTATAGAAGAAATTTTATATAGAAAAAAGTACATGAGATAAAAGATCTGGTATTGGCAACTATCTACAACTTGTAGACAAGATTGCCACTAGCTCTCAACAAGAGATTTATGCAGTGGCAGCCTTTTATGTGTACTTATAAGCACATGACTTAGTGCCTTGCAAGAACACATGTACTTTCAACAGCTCACAAGCTGCGGCTCTGGACTCTTGTAAGTGTTGTTTGTCTGTATAAGAAGTTTATGGGTGAATTCTTACATAACTCTGAATATATAACAATAACATAATTCTTAGAGATTATAGAAATCTCAGTATTTAGACTTCTAGTTCACAGATTTATATATTCTATATATAACTCTCTCTCATCAGTTGCAGGCATTAATCTACTTAGCTCTTTTGTACAACAAAAATTGACAGCAAAATTGATGGCAAAAACTAACAACCAAAATTAACAACTAAAATTAACAGCAAAATTGACAGCAAAAATTGACAGTCAAAATTGATGATGGTCAAAATTGACAGTAAAAATTGATAGTAAAAATTAATGGTCAAAATTAATGATGCCAAAATTGACAGCCAAAATTGATGACAGTCAAAATCAACAACACCAAACTTGACAGTCAAAATTGACAACAGTCAAAATCAACAACACCAAACTTGACAGTCAAAATTGACAACAGTCAAAATCAACAACACCAAAATTGACAATGGTAAAAATTGACAGTAAAAATTGACAACAGTCAAAATTGATGGTAAAAATTGACAACACCAAAATTGACAACAGTAAAAATTGACAGCCAAAATTGACAGTGAAAATTGACAACAGTAAAAATTGATAGTAAAAATTGACAACAGTCAAAATTGACAGTCAAAATTGACAGCTAAAATTTACAGCAAAAATTGATGACCAAAATTGATACTGAAATTGCCAGCAAATATTTACAGTAAAAATTGATGATCAAAATTGATGGTGAAATTTAACAACCAAAATTGACCATAAAAATTGGCAGTTAAAACTGACTTAAAAAGTCAGTGCTGTCACAACTATACTTTCCCTTCTGCATGATGAGTGACCTGCTGAGATACTTGATTTAAATGCCCAATAGCCTTTTGACTTCATATCTGTGCTTTCTCAAATTCAGACTAATTGGGCACTTATGTTATTTGCTCTCTTTCTGCAGCTTTGTACTGATATGTCTTCATGGCAGTTCTGCACTGATTATAATAGAAGATCTTTATCTGTGCAACTTTCAACTGCTGCTGTATATATCTCTGATACCATGCATGTTTTTCCTGCTTTCTCACCAGGCTTTCTGGATCAGAATTCTCTTCAAGATCCATTCAGCTCAGTCTTGGCTCAAGAAATGTCAGATTGCTGTTGGGCTGAAGCTGAGAGCAAGACTGTCAGGATTGAGTTATTATTGGAAGATTCATACTTCAGATCTGCTGTCTCTCTGCCTCAACAAGAGCCTGAATGTGTAACACAAGCTGAGATGTAAGCCACTTACAGTTGGTATGCAGCTGGCTTGCAGATTGGCCCTCTTTTTCTGTAAATGAGTACAGAACATGATGTTCAGCTATAGTGGCCTGAAGATGGCAGCTCAGCTTGCTGGAATGCACACCAACAGCCAGCAAAAAGACTGCTGGATTGGGGGACATTACTATAGAAACAGAATGTTGACCTTGTTTAATGGCAAGCCAGGCATCAACATTACTGGGAACTGAGAGAAGAGCCACATCCAGAGACAAAGATTGACCATCAGTCTTCTAACCTGCCAGGGGCAGCTCATCAATTATGTTCAGCTTAATGATGGTGAGTTCTGGCTGGTACTGCTGAAGATAGTTGACCAGTTCTGAATGGGTGCTAGTCCAGCTTCACAGTTTCTCTTCCTTTTCATGTGTCCAGAAGTCTGCTGTACTTGAATAGAGCAAGATTCAGTGGCTGTAAATAAAGGTCTGCTTCATAATTGTCTGTCACTCATGGGCCTGCTGAATCCCATACATGTGGACAATGATATTAAAGAACTGGTAAAAGAGAATTCAGTACTACTTTGACTTCCAGTGTTTCTACAGCCAGTCACTGTTGTTCCCATCACTATTCCAGCTCCAGAGTCATGCAAAGAGTATCTCAATATTTCTGACTTTCATTCTGAAGTCTGTAATGAACTGAATGTCTTTCTGAAAGTGAGAATGTTGAAAGACTTGTGAGATACCAGCATGGGTGAGTGATATATCACTATTGCATGTGTTCTCAAGTCTAGCAGAATAAAGTGGCTGCTGGATAATACAGTTAGTCAGGCTTCTGAAGATATTCTTTCAGAAGACTCTCAGACAGAGAGTTACCAGCAGCTACAGCAGCAGTGCAGAGTAGGCAGAATCTAGACAGACATCCAGCATGCAGCTGAATATGTTATGAAAGAGCATGAAGTCAGACTTGAACTTAATCAGTTGCTGGTACTGCAGATGGTAGATCATCTGTAGAGTTGGAGTGTTGAAGACCATGTGTGCCTGATATGGTGGCTTGAATGTTATGGCTGTTCAGTCAAGCTTATCAAGAAATCAAGTATAGCCATACAGCTTCAATATGAATGCTATCTCAAGGCCCTTCTAAATTCTCTCTGTATCAGAACTCTCTTGAGATAGTTGCATCCAGTGATCAAGCTACAGGTTACTGCTGCAGCTAAGATGGTTGCTCTGGCCTCCATACACATACAGAAGACATTGAAGAAACATTATTATTATCTGAGTGTGTTTCCAGTGCATTACAGTACACAGCTGCAGACTGTAAACCATCTCAAATCTGGTGTACAGCTTGTTGATATTCCACTGCAGCCACCCCAGAAGCTGGTCAGTATAATAGTTAAGAAAGAGCACTGGGCATTGAGACATAACTGTAGAATGATTGGCTAGATTGCTTTTCTGGAGAATTTAATTCATGACCTGCAGAACAGCAGCAGTGACCTGGTACTTCTCTCAAGTTCTGTAGAATTACTGGTGGCAGTTGGAAATGATGACATGGCACCATTGCTTGATGTGAATGTACACATACAGCAAGGCCAGAGAGGAATAACTGATAATCTTTTCAATATGCTGCCAGATCTGTACCAGTCTGGAATTTAAAGCTAATGTGTCCAGGTTCTCATTTGCAAATGGGGAATGCTTGCCAGCTATAAAGATCTTCTTGATGATGTTGTAGAACTGGCAGTAGAGCAGACCCCAGTGATGAAGTGGGGAGCACTGGTGCAGCTCTAGTATCATGAACTCCAGATCATGCAGAAATAATAGTAGATAGAACTGCTTGTGCCAGGACTCTTCCTGTAGATGTTCATATTCTGAATCAGAAGTCTGGACATTGACAACTGGTGTGTCATCTGCTGAATATTCATCCAGATTACTGATATTCTTATTATCTTCATCTTTACTGCTCTTACTGAGCTCTGGCTGATATGCATCTTTATCTTCACTTCTGAGTGCCAGCTTCACCAATCTGTATTGAATGTTGCTGAAGTCTGAGGCCTCAGACATCATTCATTACTGGACATGACCATAAAGTTGGCAGGACTATTGGAGCTGGACAGCTGCTGCTGAATAATCATTGTTGATCTGCATCTCCATTAAATTATCTGGTAAGCTATCAGACTCAGATGAAGTGGAAGAAGAGATTCTTTGTGCAGCTGGTGAATCTCTCAGCCATTCACAGAAATGATTCAGACAGCAATGTTGCCAGATAAATATGCAGAGCACATGTGTTGGCTCCTGGTGTGACAGAAAGCTCCAGAATAAGACCATCTTCTTGCCAATATTATAGAAGCTGATGGTCAGATAGTACCTGTTTACAGCCTGATTCCACATGTAAAAGAAGATATCATATGTGCCAGATTAGATGACATGCTGGATCAAGAGCTTCAGATTCTTAGTGATCAGAAGAAGCATGAGTTCCTGAAAGTACTGAAGCTCTGAATCTTGAACAGTTGTCTGCATACACTTTCAGAAATGATGAAGTTCTGCTGACTGTAGTGAAAAGTGAAACTCCTGTACCTGTAGCTACTTATGAAAAGTCTGATTGCAGTCTTCTGCCTGAGCTGCAGTGGAACTGAGCTGGACATGTGTGATACTGGATGGCAGGTGAAGAAGTGTAAATACAGAGTAAATATGATGAAGGGCTGGAAGAAAGATCTTATCTGTTCAGAAAGTATACTCCTGCTCTGTAATAATGTAGTGCTGGCACTGGAAGCTAAAAAGCTGGGGAAAGAGAATGTAGATCTCAATCTCAGGGAATCCAATCAGTTGTTCAAATAAAAGATGAGGAATCTGGTGAACTGGTCTCCAGAACTGGCAGATTCTTTTGGTCTGCTCATCTCTCCACTGGACTGAAATGAAATTCAGATAAAGAGAACTCTTCAGATTGCTTGTCAGGAACTGGTTGAATTTCCATTGGAATCCCTTACAGGCCACTGCAAGACTTGAGGCCAGACCACCAGCACTATCAATGTCAATCATGGCATGCAGGGATGCTGGCATTGGGATAGTATCACCTTCCAGATCAATGATTGCAGGACATGAAGACACTTTCTCATAAGCTAAAGACTCCACCAATGCAGACATCCTACTGTATAGTCTTTGGCACTAATGAACTGGCAGGATGGTGTCTCACTGTATAGAATAGAAAGACATGCTGGCATGCTCTAAGACATCTGGACATTTCCAGCTTGCCATTTGTGAAAGAGATACTATTGGCATGGAGAGTGGCTCTGATACAGTATAAGCCTCAGTAGAGCATCCATGATAGATCTGCAGCTGTGCCACCAGCTCCTGTGCAAGTGTGTTGTCTTCTTCTGTTGGTTTCACTGTATTTGTGAGCAGGAAGAGTTCATGGTCTGATCTTGACTCTGGTGTACTGGGCCTGGACAGGCCTGAAGACATTAGCAGTAGTACTGGATCTAGAATGTAGTTAGAGATTTAAAATACTTGATCATCTTATTTTATTACAGACAACTGATCATTCTCACTACTGCTGGATTCTACTGGTGATGAAGAGCTCTTGTGCTTCATTTTGTCAGACTCAGACTCAAGCAAACTCTCTTTAATCATGTCTGATAGCTCAGAGCTTCTGCACTCAATAAATACTGCATCAAGAGCTTTCTATAGATCTGCAAACATATAGACTGAATCCTCAACAGGCTGGAAAAAACTGGCTGTACTTTGGAAATTGCAGATCAAGAAGATATTCTGGAATAATGTTAATGTGCTTGCTGATGTAACTGCTTGTGACTGCTGTTGTCATCTTTAATATACTTGCACTTGTGCTCAAACTGTATTTCTCTCAGTTGCATACTTGCATAGCTGCCTACAGCCCATGCTGACTGAAGTGGTTTTCACTAATGTGCTTGCTGCATGAAGAAATTACAGAGAATGTACTGGAATAACATTGAACCTGAAGTATCTGAGCCAGAGTCTTGAGATGGTGAGATTTTGGCTTGGCTTACTGGATGAAATGAACATTTATGATAGATCAGAAATGCCACTCTTCTGATCATTCCAAGTCTATAAATTTATTAAAAATGTCAGTCTCTTTCTTCTGCCAACTTTGAGCCTACAAAATAAAGCTCTGTTTTCTTCATTGCTTTATCACAACCACCTCAGATTATCTCTTTAATAGTCTGAGACTTCATCTAGGTTCCTTCTCTTCTCTTTCCTGTCCTTCCAGTTGTTGAACAGATTGTTATTGATCATGATAGTTCAGAGACATTCCAGCATCCAGCTGTGATCTCTCAGCATGAAGATAGAGTCATGCCTCTCCAGTACTTTTACTGTACTTCAAAGAAGAAAAGCAAGAAGAACATCAAATCAGCTCCAGTCCCTGCTATCAGTGATAGCAGGAAGCAGTTGATGCCCACTGTTAAACAGTTCTCTGTCAAGCAACATACCTCTAGATAATGAGTAGCAGCCCTGAATCTTATGGTTCTATATATACCATCAATTAACAGGTGATTCTGGATAAAGATCTTGCCCAAACCACTCCTTTCAACAAGAGTATACCATCTTCAAGTCTCATGGGTGTTCCTGCATGTACATTATACAACAGCAAGCCCAATCTGAAAAGCCAGAACTGATGACTATCTAGCTCTCAATCAGTAACATCAGAAGAGGTTTTGGCTTTTGATGATTTAATTTCACATCAGATGAGTAACAGGCACTCAGAGATGATCTGTCAAGAGAATAGAAAAGAAAAGGCATCTAGATTAAGCCAGAGCCCAGTCCTGAAGGACAGCTGCTTTCAGAAATAATCAAGACTCTTGCTCAGCAGCTCTCAAGTGTTAACACTAATCCAGATATCACAGAGAGAGAGAGAGACATCAGAATAATTCTTCTGCTTGACTGATAACTCTTCTGATGCTGACACTGGCTATTCTGGAAACCATCATTAACAATCAAGCATAATTAGTTCATTAACAGCATACTTAACATTAGCTTCAGATCTGGATGTGGATCTGGATGAATGGAATCACATCAACAACTCAGTACAGAGAGGTTCAAGAGAATACTTGCTTTATAGACAGCAGAGGGAGATCAGGTGTATGAAGAAGATAATAGAAAGAAGAGCAAATTACAGAAGCAGGCATTGCAGATAGCCATACATTCAAACAAGATGGTCTGCTGAAGAGACCACAAGACTGGTGCAGCTGTAGAAGAGGCACAGTAATCACTGGGCTTTAATTAAAGAGCTGGACAAGAATATACCTGAGCTCAGGCTGTAAAACCATACACAGGTGGACCTTAAGAATCAGATGTGAAATGTGAAGATTGACCTTATAAGATATGCAGTGGCCTTCTGTATAGGGTAGTCTGGTCTTGTAAACTAACATTTGACTACAGGAGAGGCAATCCAGTACCAGATGACTACTGTCAGATTCATCTAGGTGACCAGCACCTGAAATCAATTGCACAAGAGCAGCTAAGATAACAAGAATGAGAATAGCTTCCAGGCACTCTAGCATGGTTGAACAAGTGTTATGGATCCAATGAGATGATTGGGGAAAGGTTTCATATGCAACACAGCAGAAGAGAAGCAGCCTATTAAGCTGACTTAGGGAAATAGTTGTTCCAAGCTGATCAGATACTTTGCCTGTGAAGCCACTGCTGGACATGCTGCATAAAATTTGGCAATTCTGGCTTGAATTATATGCATTCATTAGCAAATTACAGTAGCAGGAAATATCATGCTGAAAACATCAGAATGAGAGTAAAAGAAGACACTGTAGCAGATTCAAGATAATACAAGAAAAGCTGAAGAGAACAGATCTATAAAAGAGAAGACATGCAAATGATAAAACCCAGACTTCTGTCACCTAATTCAGAGAATCCATCTTGCAGTCAATGTTTGCAGATGAAAACCAGCAGTTAAAATTGACAACAGCCAAAATTGACAGCCAGAATTGATGGTCAAAATTGACAGTAAAAATGGACAACAGCCAAAATTGATGATGCCAAAATTGACAGTGAAAATTGATGTTGTCAAAATTGATGGCCAAAATTGACAATGGTAAAAATTGACAGTGAAAATTGATGACAGCAAAATTGGTCACGGCAGTCAAAATTGACAGTAAAAATTGATGACACCAAAATTGACAGTAAAAATTGATGAGTCAAAATTGACAACAGTAAAAATTGACAACACCAAAATTGACAACAGTCAAAATTGACGAGTCAAAATTGACAACAGTAAAAATTGACAATGCCAAAATTGACAACAGTCAAAATTGACAGTAAAAATTGATGGTCAAAATTGACGACAGCCAAAATTGATAACAGCCAAAATTGACAACAGCCAAAATTGACAGCAGCCAAAATTGGTCATGGCAGTCAAAATTAATGATGCCAAAATTGACAGTAAAAATTGACAGTGAAAATTGACAACAGTAAAAATTGACAGTAAAAATTGACAACACCAAAATTAACAACAGTCAAAATTGACAGTCAAAATTGACAACACCAAAATTGACAGTCAAAATTGACAACACCAAAATTGACAGTCAAAATTGACAACAGCCAAAATTGACACCAGCCAAAATTGGTCACAGTAGTCAAAATTGACAACACCAAAATTGACAGTAAAAATTGACAGTAAAAATTAACAACAGTAAAAATTAACAGTCAAATTCAGCAGCCACAACTGATAACAGTGAAACTTGCCAACCAAACTCAATAGTTAAAACACATCTTATGCATCTGCAACAGGTTCAGCTCATTGAAAACCAGCAGTCAAAATTGACAACAATGAAAATTGATGGTAGAAATTAGTGGTCAACACTTACAGCCAATAGTCTGCAGCCTCATTCTTTGGAGAAACTGTGTTCCAGTTGATATTAGCATTAGCTATTGTTGGTGATCAATGTTGGCAGTTAGAATTGATCAGAAAGAGCCAGTATCACCATAAGCAACCCAAATCAAACATGTTCAGATATTCTGCTGTGCTATACTTAAAGACTGTGGAGCTTCAGCAGTGTCTCAAGCTCCAGACTGGAAAAAGAGACTCAGCATTGGCATGTCATAACACATCATACATATCTCTGCACAAGAGAATTCTTCTTCTTGAATGAAAGACCACAGGTGCCATACCAACAGTTGATGGCATCAGAGAATATGCTGGCACAAATTTGGTAGGGTGCTAATATTAGCCAGTTGCACCATCACCAGACTGAAGACTCATTGGCACATCTGACTGTCAAGTATTCAGTATCAACACAATTATAATGGAAGATATGATAGATGGCTTTCAGCTGAAATTGCTTTAATTGAATCTAACTACTGATCTATTTAACTCTGCAGAACAAATCATCTAGAACAAACAGTTATAGTTGTTCTATATATCTCTAATAATATCCAGACATCTTGACAGAAGCACTGCATGATTCTTGGATATTTCTTTTTAAATTTTACAGTCATGCAGTCATGCTAGATCTCATACTGTATCCAGATCAATCATGTCTTGAACTATACCAGCCTCTCTCTGCAGCAACATTGCCAGTTTATTGAAACTCTTCTGCATTGCCTGCCAGTCAAGAATGTTGCTTTTAATCTGAACATCTCTGCACATCAGGCAGTAGGTGTACATAATCTTGTTCATCTGCCTATAATGGTAGATGCATGTCTTGCTCTGAGTCTTATCTCTCTCCAACCAGCTTGGGCTCAGCAGGATAAGTTGGAAGGCATGAATACAGATGTAGTTTATGTCTAGAATCTCCAGAATGCTGATCAGAATATCTGAACTGACATCAGTCTCATCTTCAGACAGTAGCAGGTTCTGATTGAAGGTGTTGATGCACATACCTTGGTTCTTAACACTTATATTACTATAGACTGCTGCAACACAGTAGTCTTGCTTCTGCAGCTACTGTATGAAAAGTTAGCTGGAGAAGAAAACACAAGAAAAAAGAATACAGTAATCTACCATCTTAAGTATATGAATTATACAGAGAAATTCTGTCAGAATAATAATCTTCTCTGGACATCTATAATAGTCTCTCTTCATGCTCTGCAGAATGTGTTGAATCACACAACACTTGAAGCTGGAATTAATCAGAGCATCAATTGCATAAATATATGATGTCTTCTTGTCTCTATCAGCATGCCATTTATTCTCCATTATCTTCTTATTAGTAAGCTTGAGCTCATATTGCTTGATCTTTATAAGATTCAGAAGAGCTGGGAAGATAGCAATGATTCAGTTTATGCACAACTTCTTGAAAAAAGTCTGGCTGGAAAGCTCAGATTTAGATTCTTAACTGTACTTCTTTTATTTTTGCAAGCTTTCTATATAGCTGTCTTTTAGTTTTTGAATTTCACACTTCTTACATTACTGAAGCTTATTTCTGATCTTGGGCTCTAGACTGCAGAGAACATCATGATAACAGTTGGGGGGCAGTTTTATAATAAATTTGTTGAACCAACTTGTCTCAGTAATGCAGCAGATTATCAGATACTTAAGCATCTGATCAAACTAATATGCTGCTGATCAGAACTTAATCTGATCTGTTCTGGATAGCTGCTTCTTGCTGATTAGTAGCTGCACTCTGGCTGAGAGAGTCTTTTATTAATTATGTTGGGCAAATTGCAGTCTGATGTCATTTTCCCATCTGGTAGTGGCCAGTATCATTATTCAGAAGAGCATGTCTGTCAGTTTTTTATCATACAGTATTCCAGAGAGCAGTCAGATGGCTGAAATGTAGTCTTGCTTTTCTGTAGCTGAGTTAATCTCTCAAAACTGTCTGATAATCTTGCTGTCAAAGCTCTTCTCCTGATGGCATTCATCTTGAATCATGGCTTGTTATCATAATTGCTGGGCATCTTGTTTCTGAATATCATGAAGAGATATCATCACATGGCTGGAGAGTAAGCTCAGAGTGGTCAGGAATATGTGCTGATAATACTACTGGAAATCTAGATTATATTATCTTAGTGTTGCATGCTGTGCAGTCTGTATAAATATATGGCTTAAGTTGCCAATCTTTGTAAAAGTTAAGTCTCCATAACTAATAAAGAGATTCAGTTTTAGACAGTTCTCTGAGTCATCAGAGATAGAGTTGGCCCACTTTCTTGTCAATAAGAGAAGAAGATCTTTAAGCACTATCACCAGTATTGCATCTTGCAGTAGTTAACTCAGACAGTGTGCAGTCATTCTGTCTGAAATACAGACACACAGAATGAGAAACATATTCTGAGAGAGATATCTTAGATAATGCTGCTTTGGACTCTTGTGTTCTTCTTCTGTGTCCATAACTGCAGGGAGATGCTTGTTAGTTATTGCTAGATTCTTATAATACTGTTTGATGTGCAGACAGTTATAGATAATTCAGGCACCCAGAATAAAGTACAATATCATCTTCATGATTTTGCTAATTTCTATCTTATCAGCAATGAATCCACCTTACTCTAATTCTTGATTCTTGAGAAGCATCCAGAATGTACAGTACAGCTGATGAGACAAAGTATCTCACAGAATACTATAAATAAGAATTTTTCTGGTTGAATCTGTACTGTCATTTTTATTCTGTAGAAGCATAAAGAAAGTGGTGAAATTCTGCTATATTTAGCTGTCCATCTGCTCACATCAAAATCTGCCAGACTTGATAAGTTTCACTGGGTCAACTTGCTCAGTATTGCTCTTGTTACTGGTTTGTGGCTCAGATTTCAGTTGTGTCACCTCATCAAGAAACTCATAATCTGTGTTCAAGAGTAAAGTGTTGTTACTATTGATTATCTCAACATCTGGAGAGTGGTGCTCTTGTTGAATTTTATAGAGTAGAGTTGGTGGGCCCTCTTTTTGAATTTCACTGAATAAAGCTGGTGGGTATTCATTTTGAATTTCACTATTCTTGATTAGTACTGATGTTGTTCTTGAAACTGGCTGCTCAACCATAATATATGCAGATGTGGAGTCACATTCACAGTTATTCATGATCTGAGTTAAGCTATCCTGAGAATCCTGAGCTTCAGTGGAGGCAGTGAGCACAGCATCTGGGTTTGGTGAATCTATTACAGTGTTCAAGTCTATTGAAGTATCTGAATAGCTAGCCATGCTATTAATTCTATTGAAGCTATTCTTGTGGTCACAATGCAGCTTATCAATAGTTGTGTCTATGTGCATGCTGTTCTGAGAACTGTCTTGATTGTATTGAGAGAGAGAATAAGAGAAAGACAGTATGGCAGAAGATGGTGAGTGTGTAGTGATCTGATATTGGCAGGTTGCAGACATATTATAGTGCTCATTATTATCTAAGAACTCTGTCTCTGGGCCTTCAGATATGTTCTCATTGTTATTAGAGCTGGTAACTGACTCAATTTATCTTTTTTGAATTTCACACATATGAGTGGGCTCCATGTTCTGAATGATGATTACAAACTTGAGAGTCAGAAATTCATCTATTTCTTTGCTCAGAATCTTCTCCAGCTGCATTATACATACTGATTACCACAGTTACTTGTTAATGATAATAACCTGCTTATCTAAGCTCTTGATAATCTGAGAGTTGTAATAAAATTTACAGTCAGCAGTCAAAATACTCTGTCACTCTGTTTAATTTTTCTTGGAGAGTATTCTCTGCTTGTCTAGCATATGATGTAACAGCAATTCATTAATCTGGCAGATCAATACAGAGCCAGAGACTGTGTTTCTGATGAAGATAATGACTTGATAAAGTTCTTTAGCTGCAGATGTCAGAGACTTGACCAAATCTGGCATATATCATGAAGTACTTAATATAGTAGAACAGGTCTCAAAAGACTCAAATATAAAGAGAAAAGATATTGATCTGGAGACAGCTGTAGCCAATAATAGCTGCTGAACAGATATTGATAAGAAAATTCAAAGACTTACAGACTTGAGAAATAAATCATGCTGAATACTGTACTGCTGTCATCTTGTTTTCTGATACTGGACCTGCACAAAAAGCCACACAAGCATCCTACAGATATTCTTATAATTAGACTTGCTCTTCCAGACCTGCAGAATCTTGTTAGCAAAGCTCTCTTGAGAAATAGCACACTTTACTACAGTAATCCAGTTCTTCTTCAGCACTCTCTTAGCTATTACTTGATAGATAAGGCTCTGGATCTTCTTGTTATAAAGCTCTTGCATAATTTTTTTCAGATCAAGTAGCTTCTTCACTGTCAAGTCAAGCATGGCTTTGGCATGAGTCTTATTCATTATTATCACATTGTACTGGAAGAAATATCATGTTAGTGTTTCTTGATCTGATGTTATGCAGAAATAAGACAGTGGCAGAGCAAATCTTTTTGAATTTTACTATCTTTACAAAATGAAGCAGGACCTTGACTTTGTAATGTGTGATTCTTGATGCTGGATGGCTGCTCAATCTCTCATAATAGTTCTTGACAGTGGTTTAGCATCTTCAGATATTCAGTCAGCCCTGATCTCAGTGCCTTACAATGCTTAAGTGGGTGATAAGTGATCTGAACTTACAATACAGCTATAGAATACTGAAAGAGACAATCAAGATATTTCAAAGTTAATGTAATTATGGTTGAGAAGGTTGTCAGAATCAGAAATGTTGTGGGTGAAAAGCAAAGTCTGAAGTGAAGTATTAATATAAAGAGAATGTAAATATTACAGAATTCTTCTGACTTCATAATTGTATTGAACTCTCATGGGGAATGTCATTTGCTGTAATTAGTAACTTGTTATTATTTTTGCTTCTCAGTCTCTTCTTGATTCCCAATGAGCGAGAGCTAGCTTCAATAATCTCACAGGTGAGTGTCTTGCTGAGCAATCAGGATCAAGGTCTAATAATGGCTTGAAGGTCCTCAAGGGTTTATCTGGCCTTGCCGCGGCGGGTTTGGAACTTGAATCCCTAACGTGCTCCAACGTTCTCATTGGCCTTGACAGGGTCGTCAAGATTGGTACACGCAACATCCCAGGAAGTAACTGTCTTTATTTACTAATAATGGTGTCACAGCTGGCTTAGAGTCCTGCATGGAGCTTACCCGAGGGCAGCCGCAGTCTCGATCCATTCGCGCGTTGGCCAATATCATGATGGAACTCATGCAAAAGTATGATAAAGATGGTGGGTTGGTCGGAGTTGACGACTTGGAACGTTGGCCCCTCAACTCTGACGCTGTTGAGTTTCTTGTTGCTGTTAGGGCTTCGTCTAGGTGCAGAAAGAAGAGATCTCGATTGCCAACTAGGTAAGCTATTTCAACGAAATACTAAGGTGGTGAGAGGAAAGGGGTTTGGGGAGGAGTGGCACTATATACAACTTGCAGGCGATTGCCGTTGCCCTAGCCCTAAGCCCTACATTGTATCAGGCCAGTCCCTAACAGTTGCCAGTTCTTCAGCTGGTTCCATCAAGTCATTGGAACAGGTGAGTTGAACTTTTCATGAGACTATCATTCCCCATTATTGATGGCTCTCAGCATCCCCTCATCATGAAACAGCGTCAGTCTCCTGGCGAGCTTGTCGGTTTGGCCCGGCTTGCCCTTATTTCTACTCGCACATTCTACTCTTACAAGGAGCAATGTTAAACCTATCTGTCCTATAGCTTTTTCCAATTTTGGTGGTGGGAGTCAGGGGTTTGTTCTCAAGAAAACTTTGAGATTAATCATCTTTAAGACACTGAACAGACCAGAGTTATTATTACTTACTGAACTCCGCCATCCAAGTCAACGCACTTCAAGAAGACACTCCATAGCCACAGTAAATTATGGTATTACACTTTGCTTTGACACAACTCAATTTGTATGAGCTGTTATTCTTGGTTCTCGTCATAGGGTAGAAGGCGGAGTCAGCATGATGGTTTTCGAACGAGTAGATGGCTAGGACGAGCAAATGGCTAGAACTAGTAGAATGCTAGGACGAGTGAATGGAGTATGGGTGTTGGCAAGGAAGCTCAAGTGTGCGGCAGCAAAGAGAAATCCAATATTGATAAGTGCCAGCGTCCCCGCACGGCAGCCCACTTCAGCTGTCAAAGAAACGTGCAAGGGAGCGAAAACAATGGTGACTGCACCATATGACATAAAAAGAAAAACATTTGCGCGCGTTCAAGGGCCAAAGTCTCAGTGACAACTAAGAGCATATGGATAAGTTAAATGCCTTGAAATAAACACAGATATGGAAGTAGTCAGGTGCATCAGCAAGAATGCCACTCAAATTAAAACAAAAGACAGAAAAATGCCGCCAGCGGCAAGAGCATAAAAATGAATAAGATCCATCACTTTGGGAGGAAAAGAAAGGCACAATGGAGAGAGCACCATAGGGTAGTGCAATGCGCCATAAGAGAAAATATCAGGGACATAGGGGCAGGGGCATCTAAATAACTATAGCTAGATATCAGTAACATTATGTCAGCATTATGAACCGCTCGGGGTGCCAGTATGGCAAAGGAAGAATCATCCAGAACCATAGGGTTGGAAGAAGCAAGGCTCCTTAGAGCCAGAACTAGATGGGAAGTATATATAGCTGGCTCATCCACAGAGAGCTGGATCCAGTCTTGCTTTCTCTAGCCCTTAAGTCAGGAAGCCAACAGTTAAAGAAAGGGTACTCCTCTTGAAACCTTCATTCATCATGCTGCCTAAACACTCCACCACAAAGAATTGCTGCAGATCAGAGTCTTCAAGAGCAAGGACACAACAAAAATTTCAACACAGAGGTGGGCTATTGAGGAAAGCATATGAATACAGCATCTACTGTGATTCAGATGTCTATATGGTCCTTCAGGCACGCAGTAGCGGTCAAATCTTTGCATTTATCTCTGACTCATCCAAGAGATGGGCTCCATCCTTGCGTGAACTGGTATGTCTCTGCTTTCTTTGATACACGACACAAACAAGGTACTGACTAGAGAAGGATCATATGTACCCTGTGCCAGTGAAGATAACCAGCAAGGACTTTGGCGGCAAAGAGCTATGCTCAGAGAAACCAGGGCACTCCGGACAAACGATCATCAAATTTTGATTCTCACTGGGCTTTTCCCGAGAGTTACGACCCGCTAGGTGGTTGCTGCTGAGATTCGAATATAGTGGCATGGCAGCGCAGCAGGATTACTCCCAGTGTCACACTCTCTCTTACCGCGTGATCATAACTCTCGTCTAGTGGTGACCCTAGACCAAACAGCAGAATGTTGAGATGGCAGAGCAGCCACGTAAAAGAGAAATGAAATGATCAAAAATTCTGGGAAACTTCCTGATGAGTCCCTTTTACCAGTTCCACTCACCCGCTGGGTCTCCGTCAATCACCCAGAGGCTTCGCCGCATGTTCACATGAGAGTTTCAACTAGAGCTATATAGATATGGGAATGTCAAGTAGTCTTTGCGGTTTTGTAGCCTGGTACAGTCCCCAAACGAACATCATCGTCCAGATTGACGCGACACTCAACTCACTAGATGACGTCAACCACCCGAGCCGAGTGATTGGTGGGGCATTCTCCGACAGATCAACGCCAGCGGTCGACCGGCGGGGCTACCCGCAACGCAAAAATTGTAGTTGCGCTTTTTCCGGCTCGCAGCCCCTCTTTGGGCTTCCGTTTGTCACCCAGGCAGACCCATATGTCAGTCGAGCTCCTTCGTGGCGAAAAATGGGTTGACCCCTGATCGGCATGTCATGGTTTTTGAGTGGACATGTTGCTCCATCAATTTCCAAGTGGCTTCTGTTGAATTTTGTGTCTTTGCTTTGGACCTGTTTTATATCTAACACTCCGAAAAAGTGTCCATCCTGAAATTGATATGTCTACATTGTTTGCTGTGCACTCCTCCACAAGTTATTTCTTTGAGCAAGAGCGGCGCTATGCTTAAATTATCTGTTGAGCTTCAGGTAAGATCAGAGGTTCCTTTCGGGTAGTTAAGCTAATAAACATTCTAATTATCTAAGGAACCTTCTCATGATGCTTACAAGCTTGCATTTTACCACTCTTTGGCACAATCCCCTGAGGTAAGTCTTGGAATCACAGTGGTAGTGCTCAACTGATCTTCTACCTACAGGCGATACAATCCTTCTGTCTGGTATTTACTGTACTTGCATGTCTGTGCCCTGCAGAAGCAACAGAACTTCTTGGCCATGTTCATTCTGGGCTCCCACACCTTGCTCATGTCAGCATTGGTACCGAAGCACCATCACAGCCTGTGATACCCTCTGAGCTCCTGTGACGTAGTCTTGCAGACTTGCCGGTTGATTATAAACATATTGCTGGCGCTGGGTTGCCGGCTGTTGATTCAGATGGTCTGCATTCAATTCTCAAAGTACCTTCTTTATATATCAGTTTGAAGTGCTAACTAAAGTGTGTAAGGGTGTAGGCATTTCTCCTCACGCACATGTCACCGGCGACGAATCCAGATCTTCATGCCTACCGCTCTCTAGCCCCATGAACCCGGATGGTTGGTCCTATCACCTTAACTATCTGGCTGATCCACAGTCACTACTCTTCAAACAACATCCCAGTGAAAATTCAGAGGGCATTGACTGTGATATAAACCAAAATACAGCTTCAGACATATCTTCATCATATGCTGCTATCAAAACCGAGCCGCTCGAACTGCCTCAGGGTAAGATGTATAATTGATGATTTTTTAGCCCGAGAAGGCTTTCTCCCTACTATCAACTTTAGCTACCTCTATTGACATATATTTACAGATCCATTATCCCCTTCACAACCCACGCCGGATGCTGATCGAATTCTAGAATCTGTTGCCACTCCTCCCGAAGTGTACAAGAGCAGAGCTTTGGGACCAAAATGTCAAGAAAATTCTCCGAGACCACGAGAAAACGACCGGCCCAATTTTGCTGGCATACCTGTGGATAGCAGGGGCAGCAAAGCCTTTGGCTTAGAGTCTGCACATAGAATCTACACAGGTGAATTGCTGGCTGATGCAGCAGTGGCAACTATCCAACATTGCAGTGGCAAGCCAGTCATGGAAAACTTCAGTGATGTTCTTCCAGTCTATCTAAGTTCGTGGCTATCAAATGAGCAGGAAGGCCACCATCCTTTGAGCCTTCCTGAGATAAGACTCAGTTCTCTTCAGGCCACCTGCACTGAGTATTTCAAAGCCCTGAGGGCAAAAACTGATACAGACACATTCAAGGATAATATCCACCATCACACCAGTCAGGTCTTGCTATTCTTATGTTTTGAGGCATTTGTCAGGGAGTTACAAGAGAAGGAAAGATCAGGTACACTGGTAGTCAAACATGCCAATCACTCCATGTCAACCATAGTGTGGGATTTGATCATGGAAGCCATCTATCCCAATGAATACAAAGGAAGCCGGAAAAAATTTTACCAAGATGCTCTTAATAATCATACCCAATATGGGAGTCACTGGTGAAGGGTTGGAAGCTGCTGTAGATTGGAAGTGCTGCTGGTGTGTAGTGACAATATCACTTATGTTGTGTATTTCTTCCCTATCATTCATCCATTTAACTCAGTTTGCTAATATGCTATAAGGAACCACTCCACTTACCGCAAAACCACAATTGATGCCCTCATCAACCATGTTTTGAATAAACAGCCTGGTGCTGTATTCCTCTTTGAGTGTTTCGCGCCTCTAACTCAAAGGCTTATACTCGGGAAGGGCTTGAAGTCATATGCGGAAGCGATACCCCTCAGGGCACTTATCAAGGAGCTGACCCAGATACATGTAGATGGCCAATTCTCTGAACCACCATGGCAATGGATTGATCCGCATTCAGTCGCAGATTCTGCCGGGCCTGAGTTCTTGTGGGCTCAAGACTCAACGCGAGACTAGGGTTAAGTTCCCCACAAGTTCGTCCTAATACTACTGCTATGTGCAAGTGCTTTCACTGTGACGGCGCACACCCTCCAACCTCATGATTACCAGATTGGGACTGGGACTAAGGCACGGCCTTAGGGCTTCCTTTGTTTATATGCAACACCCCGTGAAGCAGCTTTCATCTTCTTTCTTTCCTTTCTTCTTCAGCTTTGAATCTTTGTATATTGCGCTCTATTTGTATGTTAGGTTGAATAGAATTGGCATCGTTTACAAGTGTCTTGCTTCGTTTACCCCGTAAAAAAATTCTACCTCCTCCGATCTAGACTTATAATTCTCCGCGGCCTTCTGCCACCTCAATAAAGAGGTACAACAACCTTCTCGGTACCTACCGTTTTGTGGGCGCCGCCGGCCAAAATAAAGTCATGGCCAGCTGTCCACGGGCAATAATTGTATTAACTGTTTACTAAGGATTATGGAGCCCTGATACAGTTGATATTTGTGTACATACCCCGCCAAAAAAATCCACGAGTACAAAAAGAAAGGTGGAAAGACAATATGAATTTCAAGATATCATCATCGGAACCCTCGAGTCAGGAAGTGACATAGAAACTAAGCCCCATATTCCAAAATACTATCTGTTGGACATGCAGCAAGAGCTGAGGAATATGTTTCAAGCAACAACCACACCCCCACATCACTTTCTTTGGCATATCTGTAGAATCTTCCAGAAATAGTTTCAGGAGGGTCAGAAACCTCTCTCCAGCAGAGGATCACATTAGTTTTTAAGTACCATCCATCGTGAGAAAAATCGCCTGCAGCAAGAACTTTCATGGATGGAAAGCCTTCTGGTCTGAATATCCATTCTGCAAAGTGATGAAGCTTTGTTGTGACTTTAGAGCACTCTTTGCCATTGTTTATGTACTTATCTCTCTGTATAATAAGGCTTTTGTACTTTAGGGTGTCTGAACCTGAGCCCCTTATGTGTAATACCTTCAAAAGACATTTTGCTGTGCAAGGGGCAAGGAGGTGTTTCTGAAGACCATCAATGCATGTTAGCTAATTATATTGTAGAATTGGGTTTTAGAAACTCAGATTACCATACCAGATAACTTGGAATGCAGCACATCCCTAAACACTCCAGATCAAGGCTGACTAGCAGGTTCCATGATGGATCTTGGCTTAACTGGTTGATACCCTCAGGTCCAAACAATAGGTCAGGCAGGTTGCACTCCTCTTCAAAGTACACCAACTCATCATCTATGTTTACTGTCCTCTGATGATGAATGAATCTTTTAAGAGTGGCACCATGTTTGAGTGCAGCACACCAGAGGTCCACAGCAGATGAGGGTCCTGAAGTGGAAACAAATAATTCCTCCAAGCCATCAAACGCATGCAGGAAAGTCAGAAGCTGCTCACCTTCACCCATAGAATCCTCACAATTCACAGTATGCTGCACCTCAAGCATTTTGAGGTGAATCTGCAAGTTCAAGCATTGTATGTGTGCTAGGAACCCCTCCCAGCCTGGACAGAGTTGTAGCCTTAATGATTGGAGGTGGGTGAATCCAAACGCATACGCCATTGCCCGCTGGAAGGGCTGAAAAGGGACTCTAGAGAGCAAAAGTACCTTTAATGAAGGGAATATGCATATTTTGTCCTTGCGTGACATTCCGAGTGCTTCTTCCGCGAAATAGTTTTCGGGACTGTCAGGGTCATAATCTATGGCTTGCCAGTCCACAAAATCTAACTCCAATTCCTGTAACTGGTCGGATATTCCATTGAATGTACCCCAAAGAGATTCAAAGTAAAACCAGTTGAGCCCAATCAGGGATAGGCATTTCAGGTTTTGAAATGAAGTCAGGTCTGGGGCACCAACAAAATCATGTGTGTAGCAGCTGCCATCCATTACTAGCCATATAGACTCAATCTTGTTCTGCTTGGCTTGGAGCTGCCCATTATAGGAACTCAGGAGTTGCTCGGGTATGCAGGTTCCTAACTCCCAACTTTCGCGCAAGTCAGCTGGAGACCAGGCCCCAAAGGTTGTTATAATGTACCTGAAATTGCGGAGTTGGCCATCCTCAAGCTTTTCAAGAAAGTGGATGATTGTCTGTTCCAGCTTGCCCATTAGAATATCACCATCCTCATTCTGAAATTCACCGGAGTAATAGTCGTTGAAGTCCCAGTTTCGAGAGCAACGTTTATGGGTGAGGTCATGGAAGGAGGAGGTAATTTGAAAATCCCGGGTAAAGCAAAGAACATTCTCTGAATGACAACAAGTAATGTTCAGGAGCTTAGTGTCCAGGCTCTCTTCTAATGAAACTTCGCTCTCAGCCTTTATAAGAACAGATCTATATAGGATTGGGGTGGCGAGCTTGTTGAACAGCTTGGAGACCTCGCATAGGCGTTTTAGATCACTCCTTGAAACCTGCTCTCAAAGCCTCTCATTAATTCCCTGTGGCAATTTGCAGGAGATAGCGGGGTATACCTGGGAGAGGATTTCAATAAGGAGCTCAACAGGGAGCAAAGTCAACAGCATGTTATTGTTCTTTCTTTGATTTGATTAACAGACAGTAAATAGAATAAAGCTCTAAGCAGGAGATAAAACCAGCTGTGGTGTCTCTCAAAAGTAGCGAGAAAATTACTAAATAAGAGCGAAAAGGTGCGTTTCTCAGTGACATCTGATGCTTGGCTCAGTAGCGTTACATAAGGCTACTGCTGGCCAATGAGGCGTGCCAACTATTTACAAATGATTGCTTGTCTCTCATTTATCGCGAACGGGCGCGGCTTTAGCCACGAACTACTGTCCTGATTTTGGCCGTGATGCCGTCAGTCTCAGCCAGTGACTGGTGGGGCATTCCCCGACATATTGCCACCAACAGTCGATCGGTGGGGTGTAACCTGCCACGCCACAATGTGGTTGCTTTTTTCCGGCTCGCAACCTTCGCTTCCTAGGTATCCACATCGCTGTAAGGGCCAATCAGTGAAGCCCATCGTGACGAAGGGTACGGTTGCCCTGGCTGAACTACCATGTTACCCCGTCTTGCCACTCATGTTAAGAAGAAGCTGCCACAGAGCCCAGAGCGGCACCAAGGGAATACAAATCAGTTTAAGAGATCGGCGGTTGGGAGTAAACATCAGATCAGCAAGAGACGGAAAGCAATTATTGGTTCCCCAGCTTCCAAATTTAGAGAGCGCCCACATCAGCCGAAGGCAGCGAGGGGAATATGTAAAGGCCTCTTCCCCTTCACGGCCGCCGCACTTGGCTAAACTGATGAAAGTACTCCCTTTGCCTCGAGACATTCAAAGTAGAGTATATGAAGATTACCTTGATTGGCCTGCTCCCTTCCCTTCGAGGGTCATTTCTCCGGGGTCGAAGTGAAACTCCATACTACACAAGCCCAATTCGGCGTACGAGGCCAATACATCATGACTAATCCAACAGAAATCGGGATCGGAACTGGAAGAGCAATGATCACAGCTTGGGAGATAGCCGGCTTCATTTGTGAGGCGTAGACCAGTAAGAGCGACAAGTCGTAAGGTGAGCAGCACAGGCCAGAAACCAGAATTTTGGGCCATTTCTTATTTTCTGCGACGCGACGGTTCTACCATCTCAACATTTTGTTGTTTGAGAGTTTCAACAAATCCTATACTGTATAGATATGAAGATGCCATCTAGACTTGCGGTTTTGCGGCCTGCCACAGCCCCCGAATGAATATGTTGTTCAGATCGACTTTACTCACGATTCGCTAGATACCTGAGCCGAGTGATTGGTGAGGCATGGTGCTTGTGCCAGTTCCAGCAACTTGAAACGCATGGCCGAAAGACGATAGAAGTCTGGGGCTGGCCGGACTCGTCTACCAGACAATAAAAAGGGTCGGGACGAAGACTGGCATTCTGGTATTTGATCGCGATCACGGAGATTTTGAGATCAAACTAATAATCTCTCTTGATTGGATCACATCAGCGCTAAATTACGCGCGGATGGTGGAGCCAATCGCTGTTTTGCTTTGACCAAGTGTCCACCACTACACTCTTTGCAACTGGACAAGGGCTCGCCAGATCCAAAGGCGCAGCCGGGGTCAAAACCACAGCGATGTTCGGCCACCCCGAGTGTTGCTGTTGCTACGCCGCACCACATATGAACTGTGCCGCATGCCTGGGCAATCAGGCCTTGGGCGCCCAATTTTAGGCCTTCATAACACGCTGGAAACCAGCCATTCTGAAAGATGGAACCTCCGGGCGGGGTATCCCATGTGAGCCTTCTTTAAAGGACGCTCACCCCTTCCCATTGTCAGTTCTACTCTGTCCCAGAAGCCATTACTGCAGGGACAATGCTGGTTCAGAAATATATGAATTACGCTTGATTACGAAATATTAAGCCGGATGAAGTGGTTTCAACCCGCCGTGGGAAATCAGTGTTGTATGCAACTTGAATTCACCAGCACGTTGTGGCAGCACTAACTGCTAGATGAGTAGGATCTCGGTATTCAAACGTTTTGTTTGGCGACAATGTGCTTCTACGGCCAAGAACTATATCGATGCGGCGACTGGACATGGGGCAGGTTCTCCATTCGGTGTACCTATCAACATCGAGTCGGTGAAACCTGTGGGTTGAAACTCGTTGGCCACACTGAGGTTATTCAAGATCTGTGTACACTCTGCATCAAAATTGCGACTAAATGCCGAAGGAGGGAATTTGAACTTCAACGTTTAAGACAGTGGTACGGCGGCGGTGGCAGGTTGAAAGCATCCATAGAGAAATCCGAAGCGACAGTGAGACAGCTTGAAGAAGTGATTCTAGGCTTGGAAAGGAGAAGGCCTCTGAAGGGCAAATCCGCGCGACCACACAAACCACCGAAGGCCATTCTTCCCAGCCACTGGGGCATCGTGCTACCTGTCAGGGCATGCAACAACACGGGATGCATGGAGCCTGGCGAGGGCCTGACACTCGCAGGGTGATTGGGCTAAAAGCATGCATCGAGGGCAATTGCGTGGTTTTGGATACAATCCCAACGCAATGGTCAACGAAAGGCCTATGAAGATAGCGCTTCAAGGTCTACATGGAACAAAGGATCCAAATTACAGTACAATCGCTAGAAAGCACCAAATTAACCGAATTACAATGTGGCGCCGTCATCTAGGCCTCGCAGTCTCAAAAGCCGAAGCTACCTCCCGATTCCACAAAAAGCTCACCGCCGCGCAAGAAAAACAGCTTCTCCGGCAGTTGGAAGACCTCTCTGATCGCGGCCTTGCTACTACCAGCGTCCTACCCTCTAGCTCAACGAACTGATTGAAAAATACGACATCAAGCCATCAAATATATACAACTGCGATGAGGAAGGCTTTGTGATCAGTTTTACTCAGTGTACGAAGCGAATTGTCTCTCTAATGCTTTGAAATCGAAGAAATCAGCAAAAAGGCAGGATGGAAACGGGGAGTTTATCTCTTTGATCGCAGAGATCAGTTCAACTGGAAATTCCACCCCCCCCCCCCCCCCCCCCAGCACTAATATTTAAAGGAGAACGTGATCTCCAGGACGTCTGTTTTGATGAATTTAAGCCTGACGGGCAAACTGCCTATTTTGCAGTGTCGCCCAACAGTTGGAGCAGTGATTCCTACTGTTTATATTGGCTAGAGCATATATTCGACCGCCATACAAAACTGAAACGCGATGCATACAGGCTCCTGATCCTTGATGGCCATTCGTCTCACATCAGTATGAAATTCCTCGATTACGCACTTGAGAGCAAGGTCCTAGTTGCAGTCCTTCCAACGCATTCAACACACCGTTTGCAGCCTCTTGACGTAGCGGTATTTAGTCCGCCGGCAACTGCGTATTCAAAAGAGGTGGAAGATCACCTACGCAAAGGATACGGCTATTTAAGACTGACTAAACGCGATTTCTGGAAGCTCTTCTATGTCGCCTGGCAAAAAGCTCTTACAAAAGAGAATATTAGGTCTGCCTTTTGAGCCATGGGGATTCATCCATTTAATCCTGACCGCGTGTGAGACCTCTTCAAAGAAGAAGAAGACCGGCCTATTACACCCCCCGAGGCCCCTACTAGGCCTGCTGCTCCCACTACTGCTCGAGGATTCCGCCGCCAGGTGAGGGCAGCTCGGCTTCGTCAATCGCTTCTTCGTCGTAATGTTGAAAGTTTTATACGCGCCGGCGAGCAACTACTAGATGAAAACAACCTTTTGAAGCACGAAAATGCCTTCCTAAAGGAGACTGTTAAGACTGAACAAAGGAGGCGCAAACATGGAAAGCCCCTAGGTCTACTCAATAAGGAACATGCGGGTCAAGCTCAATTCTTTTCACCTGCTAGGATCCAGGCTGCTCGCGAACGCGCTGACGAATTAGACGCCCAAAAGCAGCAAAAGGCCGCGCAAGTCGAAGGATTCGAGCTCCGACGCGCTGTCCAAAAGGATCAAAAGGCAGTCACCCTAGCAGAGCGGAAGGCTGCAAGAGCTGAGGGCCGCTGCGGAACTATCCCCCCACCCCCCGAAGCGACAGCGGAAGCCCGTTCCTAATAGTAAAACTAAACCTCCTACCCCCTATACAAACCTCCCCTTTCGGTAATTTGACAGCTTCAAGCTCTCACCCCCAGTCCCACGCTCCTTTACCTACTTTCCTACTAAACACCAAGGCTAGCCGATCTGGTCGCTCTATTAAGCCAAACCATCGCTTGTTTTTCTCATCATACTGATTTCTATACTCTTTAGAATACGCTCTTTTAATATTTTATAGCTAATAATATACAATTTCGATTCGTGGTGGTGACATTCGTTGAATTTGTAGATTTCTAGGGTGGTAAAAAGGGTGTTTGGGGTGGTGGTGCTTGTTGGGTGATGAACCACGTTAACCATAAATATGAATTATCACGTGATGCTGGAGTTTGATGCGAAAGGCTGGCGGGACCAGCTGGTCTCTGGTCGTGACATTCATCCTTGCCTTGCTTCGCGTGTTTAGCTGTACAAACGTTCACCAGATGCTTCAACATTTTCAGTCCGCTTGCTATCAGCACCCTAATATCCATGCCAAAGACTTGTGTTGGATCTATCAGGAAGGCCGATACTATCTACCGTGATGAGAGAGGATTTGATGACAGCCTCAAGATCAACATTGATTTTGAAAAGGTGGAGTTCGTCAAAACCCTGAGAAGCTCAGAGGCATCGTCAATATTTCATATCAACTACTATGGCAAGGCCCGAGTCCTGAAAGTCGTATGTGCCCTCTTCTCAACCACAACGTTTGTCTTTGCTAATGGGGATACGGACGTAGTTCCATAATAACAGAGATCCTGGGTATGCCTCTGACCGTATTCGTGATTTAAACCGCTCTCGGTGTGAAATTCGAGCCTATTGCCGCCTCAAACAGTTCGGAATATGTGATACTGGTTTCGTTCCGCAATTTTACGGGTTTGCGGTAGATATCAACCCGGCGAACTGTGCCCCTCATCTTGATGCATTTCAACAAGATGTCAACCCTCCCTGTGCCGTTCTGATCGAGTATCTGTCGAGGCCTCAGCTATTGGACTGCGTCACTTACACCCCAGAGAGATTACAGAAAGCAGTTATTGGCCTCCAGCGAATTCACTCCGCCCGAGTTGAGCACAATGATCCTTATCCAAAGAACATTATGATCGTTCCCGGTGATCCCGAGAGAGTTGTGTGGATTGACTTTGATACCGCGATTGTTCTCCCCGAAAACGGCTCAATTGGAGGGAAGGAACACCAGCGGATCGAGTTTGAAACTGCTGTTGTTGAAAGTTTCGGGCAATTGCTTGTGTGTTGTCTTGCTACCCCGATGTTTATTCAGGAATACTAATGACCTCCACAGGAAGAAGACCAGAAAAAAGGCCTCCCACCCAATACCAAGTTCTACTAGAAAATTACTTCTGAGGAGACGCCGAAAATTATAAGATTACAAAAGCTGCCAGTCATCATCTGCTGCACTTAACATCCCAAGGTACCACAGTCCCAGGAGAACTGTTAGACGTTCAGGTCCCTCGGCTTCCCATGGTATAGCACGTGCAACCAGTAGATTCCCTCTCGCCTCTAGCCTTTTAATAGGTACCAATTCAGTGTCAGATAAGACATAACCGTACCTCGCATCATGTTGTTCCATGTAATAATTAACCTGAGAGAGGACCTGCAGATACTCCCTTCGCTCTGCTGGTATCTGTGAGGTTCGATAGCTGGATTCCCACTTCCATGATACTTTTAGATCACCAGGGCAGCGGTTCGGCGAGGAATTTGCTGTATAAAATGCAATGTCGGGCCGGTAGTTGTCAATGATAGCTGCCGCATCACCAATATCAACCGTTACCGGAGAAAGATGGAGGCTTGCGAGTTGAGGTGCAAGATGCTGGAATCCAGCTCGCAGCGCACGACGCACTCGGCTCTGGATGTAGGTGTTGAAACGCATTGCGAACATTGGTTCGGTGCTTATCGCCTGCGGAGGGGAAGTTGGCATCGGTTCACTTGCAATTTGCGTTTGCTGAAGCAAGTTCCCATAGTGGTGTGTGATATGAGCGTAAGAGAATTCAGGCCAGTCGCCAACGCTGATGATGTCCCCCCAACCGTAGTTGGGGTTCGTTGTGTTGGGCGATTTGCTCGTGTTGAATGTGGGAAGCCCGGGAGGTGCCACCATCAGGTAACTTAAAAGAGACTGGTTGTTCGCCATTGTAGTAAGTTTTTGGAACTCGCGTGTTTGATAGTGCGAGAATTTCGCTATCGCGAGACCCCACATCAATATATATCTGGGAGATGATACACTCTGAATCACGGATCCTGTTAAAATGGCATTGCATTCTTATCGAACCCCCTCCCCTTCAAACGAAAGCCGAATCCCTTGCTTTTCCGATTGGTCATGCTTTTGCGCAGATGATCCCGTAGTGTCATCGTCAATTCGTTGGTTAGCCTGCATCGCATACGAGGCCTCGGCAATGACTCAATTGATGCGATGATGAGAAGAACACCAATGCAGGCATTTTCTCAATGAGAAGCAGAATCAGTGGATACAGACTCGACACATGTCTTCCCTCATGCAGATGGACAAAAGCGATAATTTTGAGGGATCGGACCTTCGCCAAGGGAGTTTAGGATAATGCATGCGAGGCTGCGGCAACAGGAAAAGGCGCCAACTGGGGGGGATGTTTATCCACCCAAACAGACCACCTTCCTATCTTTTAAATATCCCGGATTGCACGCATTAACCATTTGTATTTGACCACGAAGCAAGCCTGGAGATCCCACTCGCTGAAGTTCTCTTTGCCCCCCATTTAAATTAGGCATATCTTCTCCCTCCCCGGCCCCCGCTGTTTGGCTTTCAATACACCGTGCCGACTCTGCAGTGGGAAAAAAGAGAAGCAAGATCAAGAAAGAACGGCTTCATGAAGCCTCAAATTCCGTCAGTATGAATGAAAGTAGTGGCAACGGTGCTTTGCCTGAGGTTTCGTAGGTTCAATCTTGCCTTTTGAGCGGTATTCCGCCACTTCATTACTTGCTAATTCAAGCGTAGGCCATACCGGGATCGCTGTTGCTATCTTTTTGCTGGGAGAAACGCAGAGTCATACACAGTACCATACCATTTCCTGAAGGACTACTGCGCCTCTATGTCCACTGCTTCCGGTTGCCTGGCATGCTCCCGTGATAGTTTGGGCTGCACGTCGCTGGATCCTTCGGGTGGCGTTTATCATGGTGCCGCCCCAGTTTGAGGACCCATTCCCGGGAATATACCACGCGGAGCATCCATACAACATCTGGGGCGGGAAAGACAAGCTGGCTTAATCGGTGGAGCCGTTGAAGAGGGCGGTCGAGTTATCCAGGGGGTTGAGCCTTTGCTTCCACTGTTTGGCATAGACCTTATTGATGATTCTGGCAATTTATAGATTTCAGCCACTTCCTCTATTTCCTTGCAAGTCTTGCTATCCCAGTTCTTGGTGTACCGGTGGCACCCAATCTATGATCAGGCTTGCCAGCGGAAACAGTACGCTGCTTTCTGAGCATTGTCGGAGAAAGGTCAATCCGTTTGTGGGTGGGTTTCAACATGTTACTCTCTAACAAAGCAAGCTACCCATCCTGTCTATGGTTCTTCTTGTCTTTTTAGTTTTTATATTCCCTTCTTATGTCGGACTGAATGGAGCGGAGCTTCCATTCATGCCTTTCTTGTTCAACGGCGCCAAGAACTCAGATCTCGTCTGGCTCTTCAGCTTTTATGAAGCTAGAATTGTCTAGCATGACAAGGACAAACGAAATGGAACGCAGTGGAAGGAGGAGGAGGAGGAGGAGGAGGAAGATGAGATGGTCCTTTTAGCCCTGGAAATGCTTAAGAGTTCCAATCACTCGTTTTGAGAAAAAGGCCAAATTTCTTCCGTTTGGGGAAAAGAAGGCTATGCTCCGCGTCCATGTTTCCAAGCCAAATTTTCAAGTACAACGGCGAAACCACAACTACTTAATTTAGAATATACAATGGAAGACAGCCGGCCTCATATATAATCTGGGTTTACCTAATCCAAGCTCTGTTTCTGCTGTATTTCCTCCAATGTCAATGTTGTCCACTCTAGTAGTAAGCGTTCCACTCCACTCAAAGCTATATCCGCTGTTTCGGGAGGTTCCTCTATATCTGAGCTGTAAGTACTGTCGCGCGCCTCAATAGGTCCAATTGCATCAAGATGATGAACCACTCTGACAGCCCTTAGACACTTTGTCCCCATCCGCTTTCGTTTCCTACTCCTAACATTAGATTTTGATTCCAGTGGCTAGATCAAGCAATTGCTTCAAACCTTTGGAAAAGATGACCGGCAAAAACTTTCCTGGTCCAGATTCCATACTTCTGCCGAAACAATTTGGCTTCAATAGCATGGATTTTCAAAACTCCATTACGCAGCCGGTGTTGACGGGCTCGGTCCCGTAAATCCCTTGCGCTGTCGATAGCTTCCAATATACCTTTCATCAAGTCATAGTAGCTTCGAAGCTTGAACGGTAAACGGCCCTTTAACCCCGAGGCCTCGGCCGATCTACCAGCTTGCGATGATTGAAGATTTAAACCCGGGGAGTTGAATCCTGCCTTGCTGCTTTCCATTTCGTCTAGCACAGCTCTGAGAAGATCACGGCCATCCTTCAATATACTTTGTTCACAATGACTGTCAAGACGTTATTATTGCTCAAATAAAATGGATAGCTGTACTAACCGTCTGTGTTGTGCGGCAGATATGGACGTCTGAACTAAGAGGATCATATTTAACTTCAGGTCATGTAGCCTGTTACCGAGGGCACTCAAATCCGACTCTTGTCTCATGATGCTGAATCCTCTTTTTGCTCTCTGCCACCGGGTCATTTTGTGTTTCAAACCCGCGTGGTCACTTTTTCTCTCAATTTCTTTAAATACAGCTGTACACTCAGCAACAGTCTCTTCTGCTGCCTTGAGTGCCATGGGGGAATATAGTTGAGCATGTTCGCTGTCTCCGAAATTTTCTTTCAAGTCGGCGAGTATACTAGATGTTAAAGCGACGTCATTTGCAAGATGCTGAAGATAGGTATCTGAGGATTTAGCCCCCAAATAGCAGCGAACGAGCTTGCATGATAAGCGGGTCCCAAGGTCAACAAGTTGGCTGGCGCCTGCAATTATACCAACAATTTCAAATCCCGACATCGTCCTTTGAAACTGGTATTTTGTTTTGAGCTTCGCCTGTCGAGCTTGAAGATGGTTAGGAGTGCTACCTGCCGCCGAGTTTTCTGAGGATTTTGTACGTCAAAAGGGGAAATCCCCCCGCCCCTTTCAGCCTCATGGTACGAACTCTCAAGTGTCTTCAGCCCCATCTCCAATTCCTGGTATTCCGCCAAGGCTAAAGATGCCTTGCGAAGGTCGATTGGAGCAAAACACAGCCTTGCTTGTCAAATATGACCAAAGTGTTACGGACCTGGCGGCGCAGCCGTGCGATAAGGACCTTGATTGGCGGGCGGACCAACCAACACCATCTAAGCATCGCGGGACCACGAGTCACGTGACCAAAGAAAGGTCCCATAGCAGAAATGGGGAGGATTTGTAAACCGTAGATCCACTAGTCCCGATACATTTACGTTGGAATATACATTTATCCAAATCCACAGTTGTTTGGAAGTTTAAAAATATATACATTCCAAATTCAGAAATGTAGCTTCCAATCCTCAATGTAGAAATCAGGAAACATTCAAACTTCTGATCAACAAATATATCTAGGAACATTCAGGATACCTTTTCAGGTTTATAAATGTTTATAGTATAGAAACCATTATAGTATAGAAACTATTATAGTATAGAAACCATTATAGTATAGAAATCATTATAGTATAGTTACCCCAGCAGACACTGGAGAGATTTCAACTAATGTGTAATACTACATACATCAAACTGCCTGATCCATCTATAAAAAGAAAATGCTCCAAGTGCAGTTGAGAAAGGTAGTCAGCAGAGCAGAATCCAGTTTAAGTCTTTTGGAATCTTTGCTGACAGGTATTATGTAAAGGCTTGGTTTGCAGATTGCAGGTAGGCCAATTATATAAATCTCATCCCAATTCACCTGCAAAATTGGTAAATCCAGTACCCTCTTGTGCCAAATTTCATGAGCAGAGAACATGGCAAAAAAAACCCTCCAGCAGCTGCCCTGGTTATGGGTGAATATACATCTTATTTGCCTGATCTTGGTGCCTGACACACAAGTATACTCAACCAGATTATCAAGTTTCAATGTAGTGCAATGTGCATCTCTATTGAATGTAAAGGTCAGCTTTTGAAACAATCAGATTGGGGTTGAACCTCTGTCAAGCATATGTTGATATGCCCAATTACTGCTGTATGAAAGTTGGAGCTTTTGCAAAAAGAAATGTGTAATTAGTAGTTTGGAAAGCTGCACACTTTGTAAATCAAGCAATTCTATAACTTTGCAGCTAGCTGGTAGTTGGCAGTAGGCATTAATTAAGGTATGAAAGGGGATGGTAGCATATGAATCATCAGCTTTGTTGGCATTCTCATCATCATCTTGTTGCTCATTGTGTTCTGATCACACAAGGTCTTGCATGAGAATCAGACATTCATGATGAAGTTGCTTCATCTGGCTGCTGATATAGGGTTCCAATTCCATAAGAGCCCCATCAAGAATCAAGAATATAGTGCATTTGAAGCTCTCATGAATCAGTAAAATCTTTTCAACATCATGCTTGTTAGTTTGCTGTACAAATGCTTTGTATTCACAGTGTTTATCCTTTCTGATCAGTATATTGCAGTTATTTGGCACAGCATACTCCTTTACCTGATCAGTATAGTGCATTCTGATATGCATGTTTGGTTAGTATTTCAAAGCATGTAACATCTTACCTGCTTTTGGAGCAATACTGACAGTATTGATTGAAATGTTCTCTGTTGGGAGTATTACAATCTGATTGAACACTGGTGAATTCTGCTGTGATCTCAGCATCTATACTGCCTGGCTAGCTGACTGTAGTATCTTGACAGCCATGACAGTAGCATCTATCACTTTCTGAAGCATAGTTTGAATATTGGCAACCACACTTTTAAGTTCATTGTACCTGACAGATGTCTGAGAAGTTAATAGTGAATTGCTTCTTGCAATAGCACTAAAGATTTTAGCAAGCAACAAACATAGAATGTCAGAATCAATTGACTGTTCATTAAAGAAGTTATAGAGAGTCTGCTGAACAACAGTCTGAATCCAGTCAGACTTTAGAGCAAAGTGAAGTATAATTGAGATCACAATTGAAGCTTGGGCATGTTTCTGAATTTGGTAGAACTCCAGATAGGTAATTGAGGACTGCAGTTGGGCCCAGTGTCTCTGAAATAGAAATCTCTGTAGAGTTTGATAGTATTCCTTCTGCCCCTCAGATGTCAATATATGTAATATTAATAATGTATGCGCAATTTTGGACAGGCCTGAAAATTCACTATAACAGAGATCAGAGGGGAAAAATGTCACCAGATTCAGTGCCAGGCAGATCTTCAAAACTGGGGGACTTTCCTTGGCCAATCCATGGGTCTTCCACAGTGCTTCTTGCTTGTGAACAGTCTGCTTCACCTCAATTTCAGCCTGCAAATTGAGTAGCTGATAATGATATTGACTGTATTTCATCAAGTTGAAATTCATATTGAACCTCTCCACATTGGAGACAGTACAGCTCTGACAGGAGACTGTTACAGTAGGGTGTTTGATTCCAGCATTATCATTTTGCTGTGGCATGTCATCAAGATAAGCAATACAAGGAGCAATGACCCTGACAGTTTCTTCATCAGTTATCACAATGTCAAATTCTCTTTCAACTGCTTGTAAACCAGGAGCCAATGCCTCCACAACATTGGGAAAATTTGTAGCATGAGATCTGAGAGCAATTGTATATACATTGTTTTGTTGTCTTCTTTTGGAATCATTAAGTCCTACAGAAATTATATAGAAGCCAGTTATATTTTGGTACATGTTCTGATATAGATCAAATCCATCAATAAACAGCAGGAAGGGAATGGATATAGTTCTCTTGATAGCATCATCTGGATAGAGCATCTTGATCAGCATATCTCTTCTGTATGCTGCAATTTCCAGTTCACTCCAGAGTGAAGTGCTAAGTCAGAGCTCTTGTACAGATGATGTGTGGCAAATTGTATTTATCACTTGCTGTATAAAGAACCCATTTGTTTCTGAGAGTTTGTAGCTATCTGATTCATCAAAGATGTAGTCAAGATGGACATCCAGTCAGGCTAGAATATTGTCTTCATGTATGATGTGAGTTTCCTGGTCTTTCAGTAAGAGCAGCTCATTCAGACAAAGCAGAGATCTCAGCAAATGGATTCTTTTATTAAAGCTGTTGGCAGTAATAGTGTACTGAATAATAAGAACAATTTCATCAGGTTTTGTGCAGGCCAGTCTCCAGTCCCAACCCATAAATTGAATCCTTCCAATATAGATTTCTTGTTCATTCCAAGTGCACTTACATGCAGTATTGTTGCACCTGAAACAAACAAAATCAGAAGGAAAGACTGGTGTCCCATCAGAATACCATGCAAAGTCACCCAACAAACATCTAATGGAGCTCTTCCAGCTCCATGATTGCCACAATTCAGTCAGGTTGTCAACTAGATCAGTCATACCAATATGTATCTTCTTGTGAAATACAGGAGACCTTGCCAGTAATGACAAAAGAGCCACAGGATCCTGAAAGAATAAATTAGATGTAAGAGATATCTGTATTAGTCACTTCTTGGCAGGTGAAAGAGTTGGCATTTTCAATGAAACAGCCAGTATGGATGCCCATCAGATGGGAAGCATAGAAAATTGAGCTCTGCATTTCTTCTTCAACATGCTCAGCCCCAATGATAGAGATCTCAGTGCACTGATGTCTTCAGGAATCTGTAAGACTTCCCACAGTGCCTCATAGTGTTGGTGAGATATTCCCAATTTTTTGCACCATAATTCTAAAGCAAGTGTGAAGTGGTCCAGCATTTCATCAGGCTCCACACATGCATGGACTAGGACCTCCAACAGGTCATTCATTGTAGTCAGGATGTAGATCTCAGCTGACTGGTTGCCCAATGAATCCTCTAGTTATGAATGAAAATCAGAATCTTCATTACCAACCAGGTGCACTGGATGTAACATAGTCTGTAACCAGGGTTCAGATTCAGGCTCTTCATACTGTTGTGATTCATTGTTATCAACTGATTCCATGGGTAGAGCTGCCACTGCTTCTTGTATAATCTCCTGCATTCTGATGTCTTCTGGTTCAGAATGAGTGTTAGATAGAGCATCAGACAGAGCATCAGAGGCATCTGAAAGACTTGCTGCATTCTGTATACAGTGATTAGAATAATGCAGACTGACAGAGAATCCAAGATCTTACACTCAATTCTGACTCCTCAGTTTGATTGTTCAGCTGAATGTTGGGTTCCACTGAAGGTAAAACACAATTGCAATCTTGCAATTCCTGCAACAAATAGGCAGGCTGTCTGCACCTTCAAAACTGCAAGACTAGGAATGGCAAATGAAGTCACCTTCTCCAAAACATATAGTTCTCTATACACCTCAAGTATCTTGGATCTTGCATGTTTGCTTGAGATTTATACACTAGTTTCCACAGTGGTTGAGTTTTAAGTTGCAGGAACAGTAAGAGTTGCTGCAGAATTTCTTTGGGACAAAGTATGTAGAAATTAGAAAGAAAATTGCTGTTTGATTGGGGAATTGGATGTATTATAGCAAAGTTGAATGTTAGAGCAGCCACAAAATGTGCCAACTGTACTGCAGACCAACTGTAATATTCTGATCATCTAGACCTGTAATTAGCTCTAAGAGATGCAAGATCAGCAATGATCTGCATCCTCCTGAATGATCAGCCTATTTCAAAGAAATCAATCACTTAGCAGTGTTAAATTTTAGAATGTAGGGGAATATGGATACAGATCTGAATAGCAACTTGGGCAGTCAAATGCACTCCAAGTCAACTATATAATAGATAGCAAACTTCTCCAAAATTCAAGCATTCACTCTCATTCATTCTCAACAGCAATCTGATAGCCAAAATGTCAGAGATACAGAGCACACCAGCATTAAAAAGAACAGCTCACACCTTCTCATGGGCCCAATCACACAACATGCCAAAGGCTCAAGGAGCATTGTTCAGTTCAAATACAAGTACCTGAACTGAAGTGTTCTCTGATCATACAGAGATTGAAAAGCAGGTTCAAGTAGTGGAGCACAAGATATGAAATTGGATGCAATGGGTCTATATATTAACATTAAATACTTACCCAATTTCCAATACCATCCAGAAGATACTGAGTCTTGAGAACTGGAAAGCTGGAAACAACTTATATTTTTGTGAACTTTCCAGGCACATGTCAGACCTCTGTAAAGATTGAAAATATAAGATCTTGAGTAGCTTGAAGATTGAAACAACATCTCTAAACTCCTAGTTATGATATAAACTGATCTCATTTGTAGGATCATGTCAGAAAATATATTGAACTCAGCTTGACTGAGAATCCCAATTTCAGACTCCATGAAATAACCAATCAACAAAAGCTGATCAGCTATTTTGCCTAATTGTTCAAGTGGGATCAATTCTGTAAAGTCTTTTACTGGGTCAAGCCATGTGTCAATTTTGAGAAGTCAGCTCCACAAGAGAAATGGTATTTTGAACATAAGTTAATGGTAAATCTTAATTGCCATGATTTCTGCTCTGACAGTTATGATAATAGAGGTGTATGCAAATTTAGCAGCATACATGAAGCTGTATCTTGATAACAACAGTCCAAAACAGAACACATCCATTCCATTGACCTACACCTGGAATTCTGTACTCAAGCTCTGGGACTGCTTGACACAGAAACCAGAACTGAGAGATATCAATTCAGATAACTTCATCTGACAGAAGGTCCAACCAAGGAAGCCAAAGACTGTCCATGTTGAGACTTTGCCAGAAATTCTGGATGCAGTCCAGTTGACATCTAGTATGCCACCCAGAGAACCTGATTCACATCCAGCTCAGGCAGTGCAAGCTCCGCGGGAGCCAGAGAATGATGATTCAGACAAGAAGAATCAGAATCCTTTGCAGGACATCATGGAGAATTATTTTGAGACTGTAACAAATCAGCCTGCCTGTTCAAAGAGACCCGCGCCAGTCACAACTGGTCACATGCCCCAAAAGAGACACAGATTCTAGTTGAATACATGAAAAGGTGCCTTCTTGGATTAAAATTGGCTGTTAGTTTGTGCTTCAAAATAGATTTCAGGGTTTGATATCTAGACTTCAATGCAATGCTCTGTTATATCAATGCTTGCAAGAGCCAAATTTCACTATATTCAATATATATCTCTTTATCATTCACCATAATTGGCTGTAGAAGCTCTAAGCAAAATGAGTTAGCACTTAGTAATGTATAAATAGACACATTCCAATTAGGAAATCCAAAACAATCAAGCAGACACACTATTTATAAAATTTTTCCACACAAAATCTCTCTCTTCTTCTCTTCTTTTCTTTCTTTCCTTCTCTTGAGCTCATTATATTTCTCATCACCTCTCTTTCTCTATTCCAATATCAAGGTAAGTGATGGATTTCAGAATAAAATAAGGAACTGCAGCAAACTGAAGAACAATATATGCAGAAATAGCAAAAAATGGCTCCACAAACATGTAAATTGGCAGCAGCTCAGGACAAGCACTCTCCAATGTCTATAAAGAAGAAGCCAGAGCAAAAGCCCTCAGCTGTTAAAGAAGAGCCTACTATAATGAGTGATACACTCTGTAACTGCTGTTTAATGTTTGTGTATACAGTGCACATTAAAAGATCTTGTTCCTGCAAGCAAGGAACCATAAAGGCCTGCATCAATTGTGCAGAAGATAAAAAAGCCTGTGCTTCTGTCTCTTCAGAGCTGCAGAAGAAAGTGGCAGCATTGCTGTCTGACCATGACAATTTTCTCAGACTTAAGAACACAACACTTCAAGAGGAATTGAAAGCCAGTATGATGGAACAGGCCACTGGTCTCAGTGAATTGCTTGCCAAAATGGCACCTCTGTCAGTCTGAACTGACAAATCCCCCTCTTCTCCTCTCTTCAATGCTGAAGTTAGTGCTGCTACTTTAGCAGTATTGGAAAAGCTCATGTCCATTCAAGCTGAATAAAAAGAGCTTGCAGAGCATACATTCCACTCTGTTAAGATAGGTTGAACTGATTGGATATCATATATTCAACTCATGCTAATGTAGTTATATATATAGAATATTGAAAGGACCTTGACCAACATCTGTTAGAACTTAAAGTCCAATTATTTACCTTCTGCAGTCAGTATACTTGATGCAATGTCAGGATGAATTGAACTGACTTTAATATTTGATGACAGAAAAAGCAAAAGACAGAAGAAACTATCTATAAATCAGCAGTCAAAATAAGCTAATTTGCTGCTGCCCTGCCCTCTGCTGTGTCTGCTTCTTCTCTCCCCTTCTCCACTCCAATCATGCCTTCTCTCTTCATTCAGTCACAGCTGAATATCTCTGCATCAGGCCTGTCTCCAACTGGAGGCAGTGGAGCTGATTTGCTTGAAAGTACAATCAAGCAGCCTGAATGAGCTTGCCCTGACAATTCTTCTGCACTGGTTTTACACCCTGTCCCTGAACCAGAGACTCCAACCAGGGAGGCTCAAATTTAAAAAAAAAAAAAAAAAAAAATTCATTATGATTCAGGTTGTGCAGGTGGTTTGTAATACTTAGTTAGTTCCTAGTAATTGAAAAGCTTCTGAATCAGGTTCAAAACCCTCAAGTTTAAAAATATATACATTCCAAATTCTATACATTTCAGACCCTTTATACATGCATTGTAAATATATGGTTGATCTACAGTTTCAAGCTTGCGACCTGTGGTTCAACAGGTCGCGTCAGATAAACATTTTCTGATGGTTGCCTGAAAAGCTCATTTTTCCGGTATGGTCTGTAGAAGGCTTGGCGCGAGGGAGTCCACAAAGGACCTCCAGGACCACAGGTCCGAATGGACCTCCACGAGGCAGAGTCCCTATGGGACTCAGAGGGGCGGCCTTGAGGAAGGACCCCCCCCCGGATGTATATAAAAGGACGCTCATTACCTGGCAAGATCAGAGGTCTTGTTCTGAGCTTCGCAAACACTTTCATTATCAGTAGCACACCTACCTTTTTTGTTATCAGTTCACCAGTACCTTAGCAATACTATTCCTTAGTATACACGCGACCTCCTGCAGCTCCTATACTATTAGCACATTGCATCTCACTTGTCCTTGTGCCCGGCCCCTGGCCCTCCCTACCATTGCCCAAGGGACCCATTGCTCCTAGCTGATCAAAGCCTTAGTGGAACTAGTGACCTAGTATATGTGGCCCTCAAAGCCTAGAGTTGACCTCAAGGCCTAACCACCCTTGGAGGCTCCTGTATGACTAGTGATTTCTCACACACTAGACAGGGCTGCTCGGTTACCGGACAGGGAGTTTGTGACACAGAGTTTTCATTTTGCAGACAACTCCGCATCATTTGGTCCATTCATTGGCTGCCACACCTTCAGGGGAGGATGCTCATGAGCTTCTCAATGTTGGCTGACATGCGTGGCTCTTCTTTCCTCTCCTTGCCCTCAATCATGATCTGGTATTCTCTATGTTGATGCAATGCGAAACCACCACTCTTGGTCATAGGAAGAAAACATGGAGACAGACCAAGCAACAGAACATTCCCACCCCCTCCAGTTATGGTCTCTATATCAGTATAGTATTCCAAATTGTATTCTTCTTGATAGCAACAGGCATGCTTTCAGGCGCAGCAGTAGCTACTTGGTTTCAAGCAATGGCACTGAAGTATATCCGCCAATTCAGCCAAAGCTTTGTGCAGATATTTTCTTCCAGTTTCGTACCGAATGATGGAGTTGTCAAATTTCAAAACCGCAACTCCTGCCTGGCGGGGTTTATATACAGTTGATCATGGTGGTAGCACCCTAGGCAAGTAAAGTTTTATGTGAGGCTGAAAAGAATGGTTCTGTTGGAACCTTTCTTTGATGGAGGACTTGTATGCTTGTCATTCACTAAGCTACCTAAAGGGGAATCTCGGCTAATCTATGTGGGTCACATGAGCGAGGTGCTAGTTGAATTACCTAACACCCCCCCATGCAATGAGCTCCAGCAGTGAGTGAGAGCCACAAAGATTCAAAGCTTTCAAATCTCACAAATCCACAATAAAAATTAATTACAGAATCCAGATTTATTCCTTCTTTAGGCTTAGCTCCATTTCACTACAATACCATATTTTTGCTGGCTTTACTGATAAAGCTCCATATTTTCCTGTATTAACTTGTCACCCCTATCACGCTCACAAATTGAGCATAGGGATCCATTGCAAGAGCCTTTGTGAGCCTGTCAGCTTTATTCACATCAGTTTCAACATGCTTGATTGAGATTTTGTTCTTTTGAATCCAGTCTCTTAGCATATGGTGTTGAATCTCAATATGGCATGCTCTTCACATTATAGCTTCAGCTTTGGCTAAGTCAACTGCTCTCTTGTTGTCAACACTTAATTTTGAGCTCCTTAGCTTTGCTGAACCTTTGCTAATCACTCTGGCATCTATCAACAGGTCATTGATCCAAACTAGTTCACAAGCAGCTTTGCTAGCTGCCAAATACTCTGCTTCAGTCATTGATTTCAAGACAGATGTCTGGTGCTGTGATCTCCACAATATTGAAGCTCTGTTCATGATAATAATGTAGCCACTGGTGAATTTGTATGCAGGGTCAGCTCCAGCCCAGTCAGAATCCAAACTGGCTGCCAGTTTCAAGCCTTCAGGATCTATATCTCTTTTGAAGACTATTCCTTTCAATTTTGTGCTCTTGAGGTAGCATAGAATCTGCTTGAACACCACCCAGCTTTCCCTATTGGGCCTGCTGTTGAATCTCGCCAGATAATTGACTGCAAATGCAATATCCAGCCTCATACATGTAACTAGGAACTGTAGAGAGCCCAGGCCTTTCCTGTAATTCATAGGTGTAGCCTGCTCATCAACTCCATCTTTGAGAGTCTGATCTGGTGTGAATTTAATGCTTATTTCTTTCTTCATTGGTGTTTTGGAAGGTTTACAGTCTTTCATTTCATATTCAGTCAGTAGATCCTCAATATACTGTTCCTGGTTCACAAAAAGGTCTCCATTTGGCTGCTTTTGAACCTGCATGCCTAGATAATGGCCTTGTTCTATAACCTTCTTGATCTTGAAGTGTTCCTGAAGCTTCTCAATGAGCCATTCTATTTCAGCTTCATTGGGTCCCATTATACAGCAGTTGTTGATGTGTAGAGTTAGATAGATCGGCTTTCTCTTGTGGTAGAGTAATCCTGCATTGTATGAAGAGATCTGGAATTCTAGAGATTTCAGATAGTCAGTAGCTGCTTGATATCAAAGTCTAGCAGCTTGCTTCAACCTGTAGAGTCCCTGGTGTAAGAGCTCTACTAGGTTACTCTACCTGTGCTTAAATCCAGTGGATAGTTGAATATATACATGTTCATCCTCTGGAAGAGTTCCATTTAGGAAGGCTGTCACAAAGTCAAAGACTCTGATCTTCCAGTTCTTGGCTGTTGAGATAGCAAAGAAGGCTCTTGTTGTAGGTCCACTAACAACTGCTGCATAGATCTTCTTGTAGTGAATGCCTTCTTGCTGTTTGACTCCACATACAACCCAACAGGCTTTGAATTATACTGTGCCACCCATGTTGTTGAGCTTCCTATCAAATATTCATTTGCCAGAGAGAATCTGCATTTGGGGTTCCTTCTCAACTAGAATTCAGATGTCTTTCTCTTGTAATTTGAAGACTTCAACATCTAGAGCCTTCTTCCAATAAAGCCACTCTTCAGAGTATTTGGCTTCAGCAATGGATTTTGGTATATCTGTACACATACTGAGCACTGGAAGCTCAGCTCCATTTGCCTCTTCTTCCTTCATAGTATTCAAGAGGATTTCTTGCTCTTCATCCAGGTATATGGGCTCTAAAGCCTCTAATTTACTGTCTGTAAGCTTCTTCATGATTTCTGGCTTCTCCTTCACAAGATAAGCTAGTAGCTTGTGTTGTCAGCTATTCAATGAATCTATATAATCATACTTCTCTGGGAGTTCAACATATTTGGCTTCAGTTAGCAAATTCATAGAGATTTGATCCAATTTCTTGTCAAATATAACATCTTGCAAGATCATTATACTGTTTGTTTCTGGATCCCAAAGCCTGTAGATGTGCATGCCACAATATTCTACAAATTTGATCTTCTTGGACCTAGGTTGGAGCTTCAAGAATTCATTCAAAATCTTCATATAGGCATCACATCCCCACCTATGGACCCATCTGCAATGGGGTTGGTGACCCATCCAGACTTCAAAGAGTGTCAACAGCTTCATGTTCTTGCATCTGTATAGAGATACTGAGATAGGCAATAGATTCACCATCATGAAGACTGTGGCAAGAGCTTCACTCCATAACTTATTAGATAGTCCTGAGTCTATAAGTATGCTTCTTGTTTGCTTGCAAAGAAGTCATATTTCTTATTCATTTGTTCTATCTTGTTGAGATGTATATGAGCACATAATCTTCTGTTGTATACTCTTGCTCCTGTAGAATTCAGCCAGTTGTTGGCTCATCAATTCAGGAGCTCCATCAGACAGTATAGTGCCAATCTTTCATTCAGTAGACACTTTAATCATGTTGATCCAGTTCTTCAGAGTTTCTGGGGCTTCTACCTGCTCCTTCAGGAGATAGATCCACCTGTATTGTGTGGCATCATCCATTATAAGTAGGAAATACTTTGCTCCACTATAGCTTGAAGAATCAGAGTCTGTAGATAGGGTACAGCTGTCACCTGCAATATCAATAAAAATTTTAGCTCCAGGCTTTGTAGAGTGTGTTCTAGATTCAAATGGATTGTGAGCTTGCTTAGCTTTAGCACAGGTTTCACAGAACTCTAGCTTCTTTACTCTCTTTATTCATATTGCCATTCTTGGATCTCTAGCTAGAATAGCTATATCATGGGTGTTGAGATGCCTCCAGCATTTGTGCCAATTGGCCATTGTATCCTTCTTGATTTCTGGTGTCTTTGCCAGGTGATTCAGTGCCAAAAGCACATCATCTCTATCTTTATTCTCCAGAGTTGCTGTTACATAGCAGGGCTCTAGAAGTTTTGTAGGTACTGGAAATATGTATGCCAGTAAATTGCATATTCTAGGTGTTCATAGGACTAGAATGTCATTCTCATTAAGTACAGCTTTGAAGCTCTGTGTTTTATCTGCTGATTCTAGTAGGAAGACATGTTCTCCATTAATATAAAGCTGTTCCACTGTAAAACCATCTTGTATAAGCTTTCCAAAGCTTATAAGGTTAACCTGGAGATCAGGCACAATTCTAACCCCCTCAATGCTCAATTCTTCATTGTTAGTTTGGATACTGGCTGTGCCAAATCCTCTGGTAACTGATTTCAAACTATTTGCCATAAGCAGTTGTGTTGCATGGCTCTTTGGGTCCATTTGAACTAGATCTGTACATGAGATTGTGTGGAATCCAGCTCCAGAGTCAAGAATCCATCTGTCTGTGGATTCACACACTTCTCTTATACAAAAGGCTGCTTTATGAACTGAATAAATCTTGTCTATTGCAATCATAGTTGTTTTCTTGCCTTTGCCTTTAGAGTCTTTCTTAGGCTCATTAGGCTTCAAATTCTTGTTAGATTTGCAAAATTTAGCCAAATGGCCAGGTTTGCCACAAATATAGCAGTTCCAGTTCTGCAGTGAGCTCTTCTCTGGATTGGATTCAGAGTTCATATTTTTGTAAGACTTTTATGGATTCAAGCTTGTTGCATTTGTATTTAACTTTATAGATCTGCCTTTCTTCTGATCTTTCTTGAGAATTCAGTAAAGAATATTCTTCAGTAGGCCTTTCAGATTCTTCTCCAGTAGATTCATTCTACTCTGGCATGCCATATCAAATTGGTTCTGTATGAACTCTCTTTATCAGGATGTAATGTTCATCTTCAAGATATCATGTAGAGTGTAGTCTGGTTATTTGAACCCTAATCTCTCAAATTCCCCACAGATTGCTAGAAATCTCTTTATATAATTTCTTTCTGAGCCAGCAGATTATGGTGTCATTCTTACTAACTTCATAAGTAGGCTTTCCTGCTGTATCTCAGGTCTCTCTTGAAAGACTGTCCTTACAGCTTTCCAGAGTTTGTAAGCACTAAGACTATTCAATTCCTTAAAGTATTCTCTGGCTTGTGCAGATATTGTGCTGTTAATTAGACTGTATAGCTAATTATTCTGAACATTCCAGTATTATGAAATCTTCAAGCACTCTGACTGTAGTGAAGTCTCTTGTCTTTCCAGGATAATCTTCTTAACATCTACTTGATGAGCTATCTTTAGAATGGCTTTACTCCATGCTAGATAGTTACTGGCTCCAGCCAGAGTCATAGGCTTCTTCACCATCTTCATAATCTTCATGAATTGGGTGATTGCTCTGCTGATTTGTGTATTTGTGTCTATAAGATTACTAACATATTCTTCTAGTTCCTCATCAGAGTCTATTTCTCAGTTCTCTTCTTCTTCTTGTTAAGCTTCATGCTCTAGATTCTCCTGCATCATTGCAGGTGCATTTGCAGTGCTTGCTTGACCTGATAAGAGATTTACTTGCTGTACCAGCTGTTGTACTGTCTCCTGTTATCTTTACATTAACTTCTGTTATCTTTGTATTATCTTCTGTTGATTCAGCATCATTCTGTATAATATTTGGAGTTCACTCTCCTTCCTAGACTTCTGCTCATCATTTGGTGGGCTGCCTCTGAGCCTACTTGACTGCCTAAGCTTGGTTTAGGGTGTAGAGAGGTTTGTTGAAGCTTTCTGGTTGGAAGTTCAATGCTCTGGTTTGTCCATATGGTTCACTATGGCTTTGGCATTGCCAGGTGCTTGATTTGCTTGCTAGGTGTATTTAGCAGGCATTTTGCTCACTTTCTGATCACATGCCAGAAAGCTACAGGGTTCAACTTGCTTCCCAGCTTGATGCTAGAAAGCTACAGAGGTTGCATGTATAGAAGATGTCTATCTCAATGTATGCTCTCTCTTGTGCTTGTAAAACCTTGTTATCTACAAGAATAACCATTCAGGATGTTGATTGTAAGCTTCAATATCTAATTGAGCTGTAAATCAATCTTATATGCTTGCTCTTCAGCACAAAGAGCTATAACCTGATGGAGGACTTGTATGCTTGTCATTCACTAAGCTACCTAAAGGGGAATCTCGGCTAATCTATGTGGGTCACGTGAGCGAGGTGCTAGTTGGATTACCTAACATTCTTCATAGAGCGGGAACATAATTGGGCCGTGTATTTCACATGATAGAAACCTTCTTTCCGTTCCAAACAGCCAAACATCAAACCCCAAGCAAGGCAATTTGAAGCCAGCCGCCATTATAGAGTCTCATATGTTCCTTCCCGTCTTTTAGGCAGTATTCTGCTACTTCATTACTTACTAATTTCAAGTGCTACGCCCTACCGGGACCGCGTATGGTTGTGAATAGGCTACTTTCCTCTGACAGGAGCTTGCCTACAACTTTAGAGCAATTACAAAACCTGATTCATACTTCAATGCTTTAAATAAACCTCGCAAATCAGAAGCAATAAGTCGACCAAATCTCACATAGTACACTCATAAAGCTGAATCGAAAGACCAAAAAAGCGGTTGACGTTGTTTTTGAACAATGAACAATCATCACAGATGCGATGAGAAGGCGAACTTATCAAAATGGTTGGCTCGCGTAAGGCACCCCTTGGCATCTCCTTCAAAAGGCAGTTGAGGCCTCTTTTACGATTCCATACTTCTATTTCACGTTCCCGAGCCTTGATCGCCTCTATTTCAGATCGGTTCCGGAGGGAGTCAATTTGTCCCATAAGATTTTCAAGCTTCGTTTTCAGTTGCTTAGCCAAATCCTCGTCATATTCCTCTCCAAGTAATCGATCGTCTTTATCGAAAAGCTCAAATTCCAATGCCCTTTTTTGATTGCGGAGATCATAGAGTTGAGAGATAGTTGGATATTGAGAGGCCCTGACTGCTTTTTCAGATTCTAAACGCTCGATTTCTTGGTCGAAACGCGGCTTTGGGACTATATCCTCGGGCAAAAACATATGTCGGTCGACGAAATACGCTATTAGCTTAGGCGGAGGTTGCTTTATAGCGACATTATATTGATGACAATGCATTTAACTCCCCTTACGACTCCCTCTCTTCACTAATCTGGTAGCACACGACCAAAGAAGACTTGGTCGATCATTCCACCTATTTCCGATGAATAGACGTACATAGGAAATTCAGTTATCTCTTGGCCTCGGGCGCACTCTTGGGGTTCTGATAGGCCTATCCGGGACTGCATCCATCCATGGTGGGGAAGAGCTCATCTGCCAGCCCCTTCTAGTAGGCTTGACGTGGGTATCGGAGTGCGAAATGCAGAGCTAATCGGGCGGCTGCTGTACCAATATACCATGATGTTAACGGTCCGTGAAGCATGATTGGTTGAGCAAGATAGCTGTTTGCCGGTTTTTAACCAATTCAAAGGGTTCACTGGGTTCTTATTTCTTCACCTGAAGACTCGTGTCGAGAATGAGATTCCTCCTTGCCTCATGGATATTTCGACATCAAGACAAGTGAAATATTTGATCAGATACCTCTAACGCAGTTCGAACCCTACTTGCTCACCGTGAGCCCATTCCGACCCAATAATGGATTCGTTGGTGATTACCGGTCGACTACGGAATCGGTTTCTGGAAGCCGCGACCTTGCTACACGCCTTAGACCCCGTCCGTGGGGAACCCACGACTCATGGCCTCGAGATTGATGGAGCTTTGCAAGAAAGAGAACGCTTTCTCAAACGGAAATTTTTAGATTCTTTCGCTCTGCTATGCGCTCCTTCGAAAGGTGGCGACTCTGTATCGGCAGCGTGCATGGAAGAAGGGCAGCCGGAGGGTACGGTCGTACGGCTCGCAAGCAACTGTGGGGTGAAGCCTGCAGTTTTGGCTCAATTGCAGCTAATTGTTAACGATCTAAATCAAATCGCATGCGGAGGTGAATTATTTCCTTTTCTTTTGATGATGTCAGGCAGTACTAATTCCGGAGTTTATCAGAATCAGCGAGAGAGAAAGAAGCCGATATTTTATCCAAGATCGTTCATTTGGACATCTCGCGCCTTCGGGAATACGTTAATTATATTCGCAGCCATCAAACTGTGCTCCCTCATTCACGCCTCAAAATCCAAGAACAGGTTCTCAAGATTATCCCGGATCTATCTCAATCTGCTATGGAGGCATTCCTTGAATGGCTCGGCAGCATGTTACAGATGGATGGGCTAGAGGCGACCCCGGAAACCGAGATTATAATTCGATATCTCAAGCTAGCTCAGAACGCCAGGCATAACTACTTGGAGCCTCTGAAAGCCTTATTCTCCATGGAGGGCTTCCACTGGCAAAAATGGTCCTCATCAGTCTTCAAGCTAGGGCGCTATGGAGTTGCATCGAAAGCTCTAAGCCAGCTTGCAGCTGAGGCACCCCACCTCTTTAACCCTATGACAGTGCACGCTGTCACCGCACCTGGTAAGGTACCCGTTCAGCGGCAGCAGGTATCTCTGTCCCGTACTCTACGACGGATAGCCGGGGCCACTGCAGACCAATACCTTTCTCGTCTTGCTGGCATCTGGGCAGGATCTGATCCCGAACAATCCTTCCACCAACAATGCCCCGACGCCCTTGCGGTTCATGCCGAGTTACAATTAGCGGCCTTTTATGACCTTCATCCAGAGCACCGGCCATCTTTCCGATTTATCGGAGTGAGCAAAAAATCTTGCTACTTATGCGATAGGTTCCTTGCAGTTTATCCGCAATCAATGAGCACTTCCGCTTGCCATCAGAAGCTTTACCTGTCCTGGATTCCCCCGCCGACTTCCAGCCCCCAGGTATACGCTACATATAAAACACTGGTGCTTAAGTTGACTCAGGTGATGGAGGCTACGATCCGTCAAGAGCTGATTCATCGACTGGGAGGTCCACGGCGACAGGTTCCACCGGACTCTACCTGTGGCGTATCGCTTTCCGGTCTAACCGAACGTAGCACTATTCCGGTCGTATCTGGTGCTCTGCTAAGCTCGCAAACTTGTCTGGAGCCAATGCCCCCGCAATTCAACAAACGCGCAGAAAATGTACACGGCTCACTAGAAATCCTCGAACCCATGTGTGTCCTACCCAGGTCCGCCAGTTCCTTACCAGCGGCCACACTATCCGGGCCGGATAGTAACATGGCCCTCTCTCGCGACGGCGAATGGGCTACGAAAAACGAGATTCAAAGTCCATTCAATGATATAGTAGCCCATTTCAAAAGGGCTGATGATGTTTCCAAGCAGGATATTATCCAAATATCTGATGTTATTGATCCTGAAACTCACACCCCATCATGGGCGAAGCTAGTGAAGATTCTAGAAACCGAGTCGGACAACGATATCGGACTTCGTTTCAAAAAGGACACGGATCTCATGACTCTTAACGGACAGATTCCTATGGGTAACCAAAGGCAGCTCATGGCATGCCTTCAATACGTGCAGAATTCAGGTAAACTTAACCTTGAGATTCTTGTATGTGGCAGAAAGAATTCAATTCGAGCATCGAGGCTTTCGCTACGTGGGAAAACAAAACCTCAGAGACAGGTTTCGAACCAGAAATGGCCGAGTTTTCGTTCCTTTCTAATGAAGCCATGCAGCAAACGAAAGCTAGAAGAATGACGATGAAACAGCGAAAGGAGGGCAAGCTACTGCTATTTGGGAAATCCAACGATGAGATGAAAGATGGCGCCAGAATTTTTAATGCAGTTCTCTTTCTCTTGTATCACTCAGGACTTTCAAGTGGAGGACATGGTCTGTCATCCGGGCGGCATACGGGGAGCGTTGTTTGCAAAACGAGAGGCGGGTTTAGACAAATGGGAAAAGGAGGAGGACGCGAAAAGGGTGACGCAAGATGATAGCGATATGCTAACAGAGGAAGAAAACGACGGGTTTGATTGGTATGATTCTGATAATTCGAGCTTCCGAAGAATAGTCATTCTTTATTTCAACCAACTTGCATTCCTAGATGCACTTGGCTTCTGGTGTTAGGAAGATACTAATTTTCTTAGAGCGTCTTGAGTTCTATTACAATCACTATCTCCCGCCAATTTCCGGTCTAATATATGAGACTCTATTGTATGCAAGCAACCACTTTTGAGCAGCCTTAGGCGAAAACTCTCAATAAGATAATCGTCATCACTAAGAACCGAAATCACAACAGTGGACGAAGGCGAGAATGCGTGCGATGAACATCCTTGGCATGGCGCTGCAGATGCATTGTATGTAATACAGAAAGCTCACACCAGTTGCATTGCTTGTCCTCTAGATGATGGCTGTCAAAGTGTCAGGTAAGACACCCTGAATTGTAAAACATCCAGCAACAAACCTCATCTGGTTGCTTTCTGTCAGCAAAGCACTGAAAACATGCATGTGGTTTCAGAGCTTTTTCAATGTGTTCAGCAGTGAGGCACAAGAGCTCATCATAAGTTGAGGGTTGTTTTCTAATCATATGAACATCCTTTGAATTGGAGTCACTGTCTGGCCCACCGCTTCCCATGGGTTGCTGTGTTTTCTTCGGGCGTCTGTGATGAGGGCTGCCTTCAAGAATGTTGCAATAGAGGACCATGAAATCAACAGCTTCGTTGCAGCGTTGCCATTCTGCTTCCAGGCAATCTGATGCAGGATACAAGAGAAGCTTTTGGAGGAGCTTGTACAGAATTGGATGCAAGGTGTCCTCTGATAGTGGCTCCTCTTCACTATCCTCAACCATGTTTCCTGAAAGCTGTGCCTCAATGTTGAGAAAAGCCTGCTTTTCATCAAATTCCAGTTGCATCTTTTTCCACAGAGCCCTGAGCAGTCATTCCCAGGTATTTGTGACCTCCTGCTCTTGCAGGTGGATATGAGCAGGGAGACTAGAATTCCTAGTGTGGCCAAATTTGGCCTTAAGAGTATCTAATTTGTGAATTGCCACCATGAGCTCAGGGTTGAATTCAACACTCTTCTTTTCTTCCACAGTGAGATAGCGCGGTTGATGTCAATCCCTCCATCAGTCCTGCCAGGCAACAGCTCACATGAGTTCCTTCTCTGAATCAAGGCCACAGATGGTCCAGATCATGTCAGTGCTGACAGTTTGAGGATGATAGTGTTCAACAAATGTGTGATGGTCTGCATGTTTCATAATTAGCATCCATTGTTCTTCACTGACCCATCCTATGAATATGGTCAGTCAAACAGCCCTCTGTTGAGACGTGTGATCAGCAGACAAGGGGAGGATAAAATACCACTCTCATTGAGAATCTTGCCACCTCCATAGCAGAATTGATGTGAGAAAAGGGGGTAAAGCCAGTCATGAATCTCACTAAAAACTACCAGAAGGCAACCCATCTTCTGCTTGGGCATTAGCTTTTTATGCTGGATAACAGGAGTTCCCTTGACCAACTCAGTTTTGCAGAATATGTACCAATCAGCAGTCTCATGTTTCAAGCACAAGAGCATTTGCTGACAATCTCACCTCACAAATAACTTCTGCAGCTGTGCCATGGATGTCAGTCCAGAATGTTGAAATGCCTTGGCATGGAACATCATCCCAAAGAGGTATGTATGTGAGCAGAAGACTAACAATAGCCCATAAATCACTTCAGGCAGTGGAAACATTATCCTGGCTGCAGTTAGCAGCATTGCCAGTTGAACTTTGTGGCAAGGGGCAAGAGAGGCAAGTTATCAAATCAAACTTGGCTCAGAAGTAGACATACAAATCTGTTGATCCCATAAACTTTTTAACTCCCTCCACTGTCAATTCCACAAGTGGTATTGAAGGGCCTCCCTTGGGGTCCTTCTGGAGAGAGAACTGGAGGTCCTTATACTGCAAGCTCAGAAGAACATTCTTCTGATGTATGGTGAAGAGTCCTAAAGTATTGTACAGGCAGACTTGGATCCACTTGAACCCAAGCCAGAATTTTTTCTCCTGAGTTGACAGGATGGTCTTATTGAATGAAACCATGTCCTCAATGTACACCAGAACTTTCCTGCCTTTCTGCATGTCCAGGCTGTGCTCCATAATCAAGAATTTGATACCCTATATTTTGGTTTTGTAAGTAGGTAACTCTCATTGGAGCATACAAGATATTAAGTGAACTTACCCACCACACATTAGTACTGTCTTCATCATGCATCTTGCTCTTGGTGACCTTCTTATAGTACTGGCAGAAGCTCTGCCAGTCAGATTTGAATGAGCTTGCTTTCTTGGTTCTCTTTAGGTGACAGCAGTCTTTCCCTCGCTGGAGTTTGAGACACCAGCCCAAAAACCAATGGATGTCATTGTCTGATGCTTTACAGAGAGCATGTTTAGGGTCACACCACTTGTCATCTGCTTGCCACTCCTGTAATTTGGCTTTACAGTACCTGTTTGTCATTATTAGCAAAGACATCAGAAAGATCAGTGAAGGGAGGTTGCCCGCTGCCACCAGCACTCTTCCATGCAACCTCATCAGGAAAGTGTCCCGTGTGCCTTGTCAAAATCCTCAGGTATGGCTGACAGGTCCAACCCGGTGTCATCAAGGGGATCATCACTGAAATCACCTCCATCATCCCTCAGCAACTGGCTGGGGATGGGGTAGCTAACTCCAGTCCAGCTACATTTTGCTGGTTGTTCAGGGCCATCAGACTCCATGGGGTCAGTTTCAACAGTGGCTTCCGAAGAGCTGCTGGAATCAGTATATTCTGACTTGCTATCAGACACTTGGTTACAGCCACTGCAGCAGACAGGACCTCAATGGTCATGAGAGCGCTTCATGGTCACTCAGAACCCGCCACAGAGCCAGATTGTGAGTTGGAGCAACAGAGACAGCCACTGCACTCTAGCAAAGGTGAAGGAGTAGGGGGGTGCTGAGAGACTAGAGATGGAGATGAAGGAAAGGGGAGGGCTTCTGTTCTGGCTTCAGGCTTCTCTGAGGCCAACAGGTATCTAAGGTAGATATTCATGAGAGAGCCATGACCAGGAACAAGGCACTTGTCCTGTGGCCTGAGTGAGTCAGGGGCTGCACATGGAGCCATTTTCAGCACCATTATGAAACACTAGACGGGTGGTGGGTGAGCTGGGTGATCAATGATGGGTGATGATGTTGACACACAGAATCTTGTGGAGCCCAAACTGGTGTTCAGAGTGCATGGTGGTTGTAACAGTAGTGGGCCGTGGCAGAAGAGCAAGATCACATGTTACCAGCAGGCTGCCGAAAAAGACATCAGGGGCCGCCTAAGAAGGCAGGAAGGAGATAGGTAAATCCAAATTGTTAATATGTAAATTAATCTACAATAATCAGAACTGTATTGTATGAATTTCTCTTCTCTTTATTTGAAGAGAGATCTGTTATAAAGTCTATAAATATTGAATATCAGAAATTACTAGATATTGACAATAATGCAAGTAGCTTATATAATTTGTGTGTTAGAGTCTTCTCTTGTTAGTAGATTTGATATTTATATATGTACATCTGAACATCTTGTCTTATTAATTACTAATTATATTTTTGCTGAAGCAAGACAAATATCTTTACCATATTAAAGTAATCTGTAAATAAGTTATCATAATAGACTTGTAGTAGTTTCTGTCTTAGAGCTAAATTATTAGAAATGTAGATTCTGCTGCTCTTTATTAAAAGATCTTATTTATCTGTTTTTTACTTTGATTACTGAGATTTTGTCTTGATAAATCTTACTTATATGGAGAAATTGTCTTTCTGTTTCTCTAGCAGCAGATTCAACACACTCACAGCTAATTTATTATAGATTTTTTTATCTTTCATTACTATATTTGTGTGCATATGAGAAATTTAGAATATTCTATAATTTCTTTATTAAGTCTTTCTAGCATCTCTGGCTTGTGCTTTCTAAACTAACTTAACTATCTTGATATTATCAGATTTTCTCTGTACTATCTCTACTTTACTGCTTTAGACAGCATCAGTAGCACATACTTGAATATTTTCTTCATTAAAAAGAGGTTTCTTTGAATGAATATCACTCTAGAACACTATCTATATAATATTATTTAAGTGTACACATCAGCAAATCAATGTCTTCTTCTAGTTTGATATAATCTGGTCTTTGTGATAATGTGTCAGCTGAATTATGCTTTTCAGAACAGTAGAGAATCTCAAAGTTGTATATTCTGAGAATCTCCATTTATCTTATATATTGTTGTTGTGCCATCTTGTTTATGAACTTTATAAATAAATGAAGATTTGTATGATCTGTACTAATTTTTACAGAATACTTCATTTCTTTTAAGTACTGCTGTTAATAAATAAACACTCAGATAATAGTTAACATCTTCTTATCTAATATGCTATAGATCTATTGGATCTGGTCAAACTTAAATAATCAGTAGATAACTGAATGCTATCTGTTGTTGAATAGCTGTAGTAATATTATGTCTGCAGTATATTCTGAAGTATCTGTTTCTAGATGTATTTTATCTTCTGAATTATAGTGATGGATAACAGATTCTTCAGAGAAGACTGCTTTTAATGTGTGAAATGCTTTTTTAATAATAAATGTCAGAAGAAATAATTTCTTCTTTTACTTATTTTTACTGTCTTTCAAGAGATCTGTTAACTGCACTACAATAACTGAGTACTTTTGTATAAATCTTTAATAGAAGTTTGCAAAACCCAGAAATATCTGAATATTATAAAAACTTTATGGCAAAAGCTACTTTATAATTATCTGTATCTGCTTTAGATTCATTTTAATATCTCTGTTATTAATGATATATCTGAGGTATGAGATTGTTTATCTTTTAAAAGTGCACTTAGCAAGCTTTGTAAACAACTGATATTCTCTTAGACACTCTATAATTAATCTAATGTATTTCTTGTGCTCTTTCTCTAAAGCAGAAAAATAAGAATATCATCTAGATAAACTATACAGTATATGTCAACCAGGTCTGCCAGCACTTTACTAGTATAGAACTGAAAGATTACTGATACATTTAATAATCTGAAAGACATAATAAGATACTCAAAACTTCCAAACTTTATATAAAATATAATCTTTCATTTGTCTTCTTCTTTGGTTCTAATCTGATAGTAGGTATTATGTAGATTTATCTTGGAAAAGTAGCATGCTCCTGCCAATCAGCTTAATATCTTATCTATCAATAGCAAAGAGTAATGGTTCTTCACTATAACTGCATTAAGATTATAATAATTAATACAGAGTCTGAGTTCTTTATTAGTCTTGAGTGCAAACCATACTGAAGTCTCTGCTGAACTTTATAATAAATATATCTAATTCTTGTATAACTTATTCTTGATGTACTCTTATAGAATCTCTGTCTGCTTGAGTGATAGTTTATAGATTAACATGTACAGAGACTTGCAATTATCTTTAAGAATAATTAAGTAACTAATCTTTATTAATTTCAGTAACTCTGTTACTTTTTCTTTTGAGAAAATATCTTTATAGTTCTTCAACCACTCAGGCACTTCTGTCAGAACTTGATCATTGTCTGACACAAAAATAATATAAAAGAGTTTGTTCTTGATGTACACTGCTTAGAGAAATCTATCTGTATTTAGAAGTTCTACTATCCAGCATGTTATAGACTTGTTGAGTCTGATCAAACTTGAATGACCAGTAGGCAACTAGGTGCCATCTATCTTCAAATAGCTGTAGCATTATTTTACCTGCAGCATGTTCTGAAGTGTCTGTCTTCAAACATATTCTATATTCTGGATTATAGTGCTGGATGATAGACTTTCTGGAGAAGACTATCTGCAACTTACAAAATACTTCTCTGGCAGCAGGTGTCAGGAGAAAAGATTCTTTCTATCTTTTATTTTTACTGCTCTTCAAGAGATCTGTCAACAGCACCACAATAACTAAGTACTTATGTATGAATTTTCTATAGAAGTTTGTGAAGCTCAGAAATACCTGAATATTATGGAAGCTTCATGGCAAAGACCACTTTATGATTATCTGTACCTGCTTTGGGTTCATCTTAATACCTTTAGTATCAATGATATATCTGAGATACAAGACTGTTTGTCTTTTGAAAGCATATTTAGCAAGCTTTGCAAACAACTGGTATTTTCTTAGATACTTCATAACTAATCTAACATGCTTTTCATGCTTCTTCTCTGAGGCTGAGAAGATAAGAATATTGTCTAGATAAACTACACAGCATATATTAACCAGGCCTGCCAGCACTTTATTGATATAGAACTGAAAGGTTGCTGGTGCATTTGACAATTTAAAAGACATGACAAGATACTTAAAACTTCCAAACTTCATACAAAATGTGGTTTTCCATTCGTCTTCTTCTTTGATCTTAATCTGGTAGTAGGTGTTATGTAGATCCACCTTGGAAAAGTAATGTGCTCCCACTAACTGGCTTAACATCTCATCTATTAACAGTAGAGGGTAACAGTTCTTTACTGTAACTGTGTTAAGATCATGATAATTAACATAGAGTCTGAGTTCTTTATCAGTCTTGAGCACAAACAACACTGGAGCCTCTGCTGAACTTCATAACAGATATATTCAACTCTTGCAGAGCTTGTTGTCAATATACTCTTGTAGAATCTCTGTCTGCTTGAGTGATAGTCTATAAATTAGCAGGTGTAGGGGTTTGCAGCCATCTTTAAAAATAATTGAATGACTGATCTTGTTAGGTGAACTGGTCATAGGTCACATAGGTTTTCCCAGAATTAGGGATACAAAAGAGCTAAGTAGGTATAATGCCCACAACTAATGGAAGAGAGTCATGTGTAAAATGTAAAAGTCCCCTCACTCAGAGACTGAATGCTGGGGTTCCCATGATCTATATGAATCATGTGATCCTTATATGTTTAGTGTTGGGATCATATGAATACCTCTGAACATCTGATGTTATCTGATGCTTGGTTGATCTAGATCTACATTTATAATACTATTCTCCCCTCCAGAGGCCTCAGACTCCAAGACATAAGATCATTAAAGTGGTTTTTCATATATTATTATAGCTCCTCTATCATTGGTGGAGTATTGTAGGTTCTTGGATGTGTAAGCTTCTGCATTACTTATTGCTTGTCTATATAGACATCCTGCATGCATATTGCTGCTGGTTGCAGTAGACATTTTTCATTATAGAACAGCAATCATTTTATTACAAAAGTTTACTATTTTGTTACATACATATTTCTTTGTTTGTTTGCTTGTCTGATTGCTATATTATTTGTTGTCTGTTGTCATGTTGTTTATTAACAAGTCATGGAACTAGCAATCTTAGTGTATTATAACAGATATAAATAGAGAGTTTCTGGTCCTCTTCTTTCTTCTTTTCTTCTGCTTTATTTGGGCTCAGACATCATTTCTCATTTATTTTATAACTTGTTATGATGTTGTCATTAAAAAATCCTGTTGCACATAATAAAGAAGACACTCTTCTGTGCTCTGTCTGTATTTACTTAATGTTTATAAATCATCTGAATGAAGGCAAGCCTTGTCTATAAAATATCAAGAAGAAATCTTGTTCTTATTATTTAGAACATTAAATCTATATCTGTTATAATATAAGTGCATCTTCATCTGTTCTTCTTGTTGTTCTGACATGGCTGTAGGTTTCAGAATCCACCATCAAACTAGTTCATCAGCTCTTGAGACTTTGAGAAGAATACTATAGTTTTGATGCAGCTAATTCATGTCATCTGTACAATATCAAGTGCATAAGTATACTTGTGTGTGAATTTTGTGGGCTCAACTCAGGAGCTGCTAAACATTGCCACTACCAGACCACTTTTACTATCAAAAAATCTTTCATGAAACATCATTATTCTGTCTCATGCCATGTAGTCAAGACTGTGGATCTTGTGTCTAAGACAGAATCTATTAAAGACAGCCTGTCTGAGTTCTCTTGTTTGTCAAGCCCAGTTTGTACTGTTCTCTCTTAGATAGAAAATGAAGTTACAAATGTCCAAGTCTTACTTGATCATCTTATAACTTGTTTAACAAGTGGAATCAAAGCTTTTTGAAACAGCATGGAAACTAATCTTATAGATCTTCTGTACTATCTTAATTATTCTCAG